CATACGAAGCCTTCCCCTCCAAGGAATCACAGATTCGTCCAAAGACAGTTGTTGGTTTGGCTTATAAACTGTCTGAAATTTCTGAACGAAAAAGTTCAATAAGGGCTGAATTTTGAAAAGCCTGCTTGTTGATTGTGGTTGCAGTTCATTACCACTGAAATGCAAACACCACCAAATTTGCTTAAATCTCTTATGGCTCATTAGTTTGCCGAAAATTGGAATTTCGAAAAATGGATCTGTTGACCAATACTCTTTCAGATTATCCCTCCTTGTATGGCCCATTAGAAAGATTACTGCAAAAAATTTTCTCATTTCTGCTGAAGTGACATCCACCCACTTCAATGCCTTATAACTTTTGTCATAATGTTCACGGTGTTGGAGATAGTATCTGTTAGTTTCCTGACATAGCATGTCAAAGAAACTATCTCCAAAAAACAGTTCCGCTACTTCAGACACTTGTGTTGGGTCCGATGGAATTTGCTTCACCCCTGGATTTCCAGTAAACTGTCCCAAAGCAGGCGTTTTGTCTACTTTTCCCCATGTGGCTCTCCCCGCAATGTTGCTGCCCGCACTTTCATCAGAGCTACTGTCACTTTCACTTTCACTTTCACTGTCTGTGGTCACAATTTTTTGTTTGCCCCTGCCACTCACTATCAGATTGTGAGTCGCTATCACTAGCAGACTCACAAGGGACATCAGATAGCGCATAGGAGAACAAGTCAGATATTTCTTGTTCTCCGAGAAAACGCTTGGACCTCAACCTCTATCGACGTTGATCCATTTTGCACTAGTAACTTCCTGCCTGGTGCATGCAGCCGGAAGATGAACAAAGGCATTTTCTTTTAGAGTGAGAAAGGAAAACAGTTGGGTCATGTTATTGACTACAAAGCAAACATTCAAGAGGTCTATCACGCCAGTGCAAGGTATAGTGTGTTTCAACATAACGTGTCCTAAAGTCATAATAAAATGCCACCAACCCGCCACGTTTAAAAGCGCTGGGTATAAAAATATGCCACTGGTCCACAAAGTGTTAAGCCAGATTAATCCAGTCCATGCTATCTCATTCCATTCCTCTAAGATCCATTTCAACATCATCCTCACACCTATGCCTACGTCTTCCTAAAGGTCTCGTTCCTTCGGGCTTTCGCAACAAAACCATGCATGAATTTCTCCTCTCCCCCATGCATGCTACATGTCCTGCCCATCGCATGCTCCTTGACTTAAATATTCTAATTATATTTGGCAAAGAGTACACGTTATGAATCTCTTCATTAAGCAATTTTCTCCAACCTTCCACCATTTCATCCATCTTTTGTCCAAATATTCATCCTGTTCTGAAATACCCTTATTCCAGGCTCTTCCCTTAATGCCAGAGACCAAGTTTCAAGACCATAGGAAACTATGAACAAAATTATAGATTTGTACATTTGGGGGGTACTTATATCACCCCCACCCTTCAAATTATATATATTGTTATGATCTTAGAGACTATAGACAGGGTTTGGATCAGTAACTGGATTTATTAAACTTCTGCAATTTTCATTTCATGCATCCTGTAGTGTCATAATATACAACTTCTTTATTAAAACCATCACACCACAACTATATCGAGGTCAGTTTTGGTTCTGCTACATGTAGCAGAGCCAAAACTAGGCACTGACCTCAATATAGTTGTGCTGTGATGGTTTTAATGAAGAAGTTGTAAACTTTTGCAACTTGCAACTATAAGTAACGATTATGCTTTCACTGTTCTACACACTTCACAAATCACTACAGGACACACTAGGTCTTCTCAGTCTGTTACAGTCTTCAGTAGTTGTTGTTTGGTAGCAGCTTCCAATGGCAGATGTTCTCCGTCCTCTGGATGGTCTCCTGCCTCAGCTACCAGCCTCTAATGGCAACAGCTCACAATGACTGAACCCCAGTGGTTACCTGACTCACTAACTCACCAATCAACATCATTCACTCTTCACTATCCTGTCCTGGTTATAACATTTTGGCATGGACCGCACAAAAAATACCGTTCATCTGCTGCAGTGCAATTGTTGTGTTCGTGTTGGTTTGCAGAGCTGCTGCCTACAATGGGTCTACATACCCATTATTAATTAAGTCAGTTTAAAAAAGTCCCTTTTCAAAGTAACTGAAAATGCCTCTTTTTTTTTTTAATTTTCACCTCATTATACAAGCCTTGATCAAAAATGCTGAGATACTATTAATAATAAAATAGAAATTTTACATGCAATTGTTATTGCTTACCTCGAAAACAGAGAAATGTGAGAAAATCTTCTGTCTTCGGCCTCTTAGCAGGTATAAGTTCTGGTGACAACACCATGCCATTGGTTTTCACCTTGTCCTTATCTTTAACCGGAGTCAGTGCAGGGCTGCTCATGTTGGAAGATCCTTGTGCAAACTTCCGTTGAGCATGGACCTTTGTTCTGAAAAAGAAAGAAAAAAACATGATACCTTTATTTTGCATGATTTTTGTTTTGAAACTCAAGTGTCGCTATAATACTGAAATAAACTACAAGTATTTTACAACTCCATCCAGTGTACATTAAGTTTGAAAATTGTGTTTTTATGTTGGTACCATACAGAGAATTCATGTCTTTAGTGGTGACTTCCGTGCTAGGCCTCATAAGTGTGGGGTTTTTTGATGTTTTTAATGTCTGTCCCAAATCTCACAGTTGGTTTATGCTGTACTTGTTTTACTACATATATACCCTATCTTGTTTTGGTGCTGGTGTCCAGAGATAGGGACTAGCTCTATCCATTGGGCCTAACTGAGTAGGTTACACCAGAAGACAGAGACAGAATCCAGTCTCTGAAATGTTGTGTGTTTTAAATAAAAACAGAATGGATAATGTCCAGAAACACAATATTTATATAAAAATTAGTGTCTTCCAACAATAAATGATACTTACTCTGTTTTTCAAGAAACTTCCTGCTGTTATGAAACTCAAACCATCATCACCACAGTCTCAAAACCTAGCTGCAAGACCCCACACTGAATCAGTTCAATTCATGTTCCTACCTCTTCTCCTTAGATATATTTCAATACTGTCCCCTCCCCCCATCTTAAACTGTCACCACTACAGCTATTAGGATGCTTGCCTAATCAACATTTTAACACTTCAATGCTGGCGGGCATTTAAATTCCTACTCAACTCCTATGCCGGGGGATATTTAAATATTTAAATTGGAGAGTGCAACATTTCACTTAAAGTGTAATAAATTTGTGAAAAAACTGGAGTTTTGTTTTTCTAATTTTCACATTACGTTCAGGAATGTATATAGAATCGGTGTACTGATCCACAAAATTATTTTTTGGCATAGTAAACCTATAAAAATTATGAATGATAGTATCATATTACCTTAGAAGATCAGCTGGGTGTGTTAGTTGTGAAAACATTCCACACAGAGTCCCATGTCACATGAGTCACACCAGTACACAGTTTTTGACACACAACATGCTGTTTCTGTGGTTTTGATTTCTTCGCAGTTGGTGGAATCTTGCTTATAAAATTTCTTTCTCTTAGATGGGGCACTGTTTTGTCTGATGAATATCGACCTGGCACTTTGTGTTCTACAGTACTATCATATTTCACACAGTAAAAGTAAAAAGTAAAGCTATCCCTGTAACAGGCTGTGAATGCCCATAGGGTTGTGAGACGTTGAGGGTCCCACACTATCTAGACAATCGGCTCAAAGATGGCAGTAAGGTTGTCAGCCTTACGCACCGGCTGCGCTTTACTCCCCAGGAAAATTATTTAATTAATTCCTGGTACTCATTTCTGTTAGAGGCTGAGTAAACCCCAGGGCCTAGTGTGGCTGGAAGGATTAGATCAACTGGAAAAAATCCAATGACCTCATCGGGACTTGAACCCGTGACCTTCCGGCTTGTAGCATAGCCCCTCAACCACTACACTACCGTGTGCCCCCGTATTTCACAGAGAGTCCTTCAATTAACTGAATTCAGATTGACAATTGATCTATTCTTTTCCTTGTGTTATTCCTACATATTATCATCGCATTCAGAAATTTTCTTTTTGTCCCTTACAGTTTTGCATATTCTCCCAATGGATGTTTGTGCTATTCTCGATTCTGTTATTTACCACAGAATCAAGAAAAGAAAAAACATAAATTTTCATTGTCTAATTTTGAATCTGATAAAACTTTGTTCTGATTCGGTTTGAAGTATACAGGGTTATTAAAAAGAATGAACCGATTTCATGACGCATCACTTCAGTTCTCAAGCATCATCATGGAATGAGTCAGTGACCACTTGAAACAGGAGTTATCTAAGTTGTGAATGGCTGCCACAGGGGCGTTGAAGTCGTGTCGTTCTTCCGGCAACGTTCAGTTGTTCGTTTACCCTCAGAATGGTGAGTCCTCAGCAAAAGGCGTTCTGCGTTCTCAAGTTCGCGAAAACAAATTCAGTTGTCACGGTGCAGCGTGCTTTTTGAAGGCGATTCGGCATTAATCCGCCCTGTCCTAAGAACATTCGACGGTGGTTTCGACAGTTTCAAGAGAGTGGGTGTCTGTGTAAAGGAAAAAGTCCAGGACGACCACAAATCTCAGAGGAACAAGTGGTGAGAATCTGTGCTGCGTTTGAGAGGAGCCCGTGGAAGTCAACAAATAGAGCTAGCTGTGAGCTTGTGATCCCTCAATCCACTGTCTGGCGTGTGCTAACAGTACGTCTACATTTGAAACCATACAGACTGAAGCTCATTCAGGCACTTACCAATGACGACAAAAGGAAACGGATGGAATTTTGCGATTCGATGCTGGAGATGATGGAAGACAAAACCTCCATTTCACGTTTAATTTTTAGTGATGAAGCGACTTTTCACTTGAGCAGCACAGTCAATCGTCACAATGTGCGTATTTGGGGAACAGAGTACCCACATGAAACAGTTGAGCTCGAAAGAGATTCCCCTAAGGTGAACGTCTTTTGTGCTGTGTCTCAGGACAAGGTTTATGGTCCCTTTTTCTTTGAAGGAAACACCGTTACAGGACAAAACTATCTCGATATGCTCCAAAACTGGCCCTTCACTTCACTGCAAGCAGATTCGCATGACTTCATTTTTCAACAAGATGGAACACCACCCCATTGGCACCTGATGGTCCGAGCTTTTTTTAAATGAAAAAGTGCCCCAGCGATGGATTGGTCAGAAGGGAGCCAAAGACCTTGCTCTTTGTGCTTGGCCCGCGAGAACCCCAGATCTCACCTTGTGTGATTTCTTCTTGTGGGGATATGTAAAAGATCACGTTTATATTCCACCGCTACCCACTAACCTCGATGACCTTAAACACTGAATAACAACAGCGATTAACTCAGTGCATCGTGATATGCTGATACGCGCCTGGGAGGAATTCTCTTATCGCATTGATGTTGCCGGTGCTGCATGTGGTGGCCACATTGAACACTTGTAAGACAGGAAATAAAAGTTGATTGTGAGTAGAATACTTGTGACTTGGCTGGAGTTTTGTATTACTTTCCTTTAATATAATATTGGCTAATAAAATCGGTTATTTCTTTTTGAATAACCCTGTATATATTCTCCACTGGTCATGACACAACACAGCTGGCCACTTTGCTCCTTGCGGCTGGCCTTGACTAACCAGACTGCATGATGTGTATTTATAGAACAAAGGGGGATTACAATGGTATCAGTCATATAGTGAACTGTTTATCATTTGCTACAGTAGCAGTCATAACACACTTCTTAGAGTCAACATCACGTCTCAAAGTTGTAGATTCTCCACCTGTCTTCTTGTAGTTACAAATACCAATGCTGATGCAGCACAGTTGAGAATATGCCTCAACAGGATCGACTTTTCATTTGATCATGATAGAGGAGAGTACACAGTATTGATCTAACATATTTAGTTCATAAGATTTCCCCTAGGCAGAGGTAGGTTTGTATGGTAACAAGTGCACCAAGTGTTGAAATAAAAAACTTTTTCAAAGAATTCAGATGTATTAGAACTCCCACAGCAAGTTCAAAGTGGGACAACGAATATACAAAATGATAGCCTGAAATTTCCTCTTTAATTTCATACCAAAAAATTACTTTACATGAAGAACAACGGTTCAAATTACAAGCTGAAACTTAAGAGCTACAATATGCGTACCCTGCACCGACCCCAGCAGCATGTGACAGAAACTACTGGGGTGCAGTGCACTGAGCCCGGAACTGAAGGATTAAGGTAGAAACTGGATTCAACTCAATCAGGATTGGGTCTGTAATTTACCGAACAGCTGAGCAACTGTCTACTTCCAAGAAAGACCTGATACCAGGCAGCAGTGTTTTTCATCCTTTTGCCTGTGGAACACTTTCTATGACTGTCTGCAACCTCTGGTCAAAAGAAGCTTTGTGCAGACTGTCTGAGCTCAACTTCCTTTAACTGTCAATGTTTTTACTTCAAGAAAGCTATCTGTGTGACTCTCCTCACAACATCCCAGTAAAGAACAATTGCAAAACAGTGACTGAGCTAGTCACACAGTGTACCATGTGAACAGAAAGCATGGGGATAAGATAGAGTTATATTTTCTTGGATATAACATAGAGTAGACTGATGAAAGTCCACCAACGTTTCAGAGGAACATGCTGTCTCCATCTTCAGGGTCGAAGAGTAAACCAAGCAAGAAACCAGCATGAAGCAGGCAGCAAGGAAAGCACACAGACTGACAATGGAACTGTTGGATTGGTTTTCAATGTTCTTACTGCTTCTAGAGAATCCCACTTTTTTACAAGCCATATGCTTTGCTTGCTGCCTGCGTCATGCTAATTTCCTGCTTCGCTTACCCTTCAACCTTGAAGATAGAGGCAACATGTTCCTCTGAAATGTTGGTTGACTTTTAGTGGACTATATGGCGTCATATACAAAGACAGAACTCTTCATAGTCACATGTTAGAGCCTCAAATCCTACAAGAGGATAAGACAATTTCTCAGTACAGTACTGTGATCCATTTGGGATTCAAGGTTCTCACAGCAGTAGTTATGAAGAGTTCCATCTTCTGGGATACAATGCCATGTCCTCTAAAAGTCAAATAATGTTCTGGAGGAACATATCGCTTCCATCATCAAGGTTGAACAGTATGCCAAGAAGGTAACAAGAACAACCATGTTCCTCTAAAATATCATGTGACTTTAAAATGGTCTGCATGGCATTATACACTAAAGACCAAATTCTTTAGTATTGTGATCTGCTGTTTAATGTGGGCATTTAAAATGACCAGGCTTTCCTTTGAAGAAACTACTATAAGGACCTTACTTTGTACAGGCCTCTTTAAGAGCCTTGCTTTGTAGAAGGCCCTGTAAGGGCCTACATTTATAGATGTACCCATATGGGCCTTCATTCCTAGAGGGCCCTGCTGGGAGCTTTCCCATTTCCTGGTTCTGAGTGACCAATCACCCAGCGCTCTGCAACTCAATTTCTCTGTCCTCTCTTTATAACCTGCCCACATCTCAGCTGGAGTCACTAATACTCTGAAGACAGAGGGAGCAGGTTCCTCAAAATGCTGGTAACCCACTTATAAGACTACATGGTGTCACAAGCGAGACTGCATGGTGTTATAATCCAGAAGACAAAATTTAAGTTTTTACTGTTTCATCTGGGTCATGCGATAGCATAGTTAGTTGAGGCACTACGCTACAAGCCGGAAGGTTGCGGGTTCGAGTCCTGATGAGGTGGATTCTTTTCGATTGACCTAATCCTTCCAGCTACACTATGGCCCTGGGGTCGACTCAGCCTCTAACAGAAATGAGTACCAGGAATCTTCCTGGAGGTAAAGGGTGGCTGGCGCGTAAGGCTGACAACCTTACCGCCATCTGTGATCTTACTGTCTAGATAATGTGGGACCCTCAACGTCTTACAACCCTATGGGCCTCCATGGCCTGTTACAGGAATAGCTTTACCATTACTGCTTTATCTAAAATATTTTTATGGCTTTGTGTGTAGCATCTGCTGTGCATACTTATTTTCTGAGCAATATAACATGATTGATGGTAGCATAGTTGGTTGATGCACTATTCTACAAGCTGGAAGGCTGTGGGTTCAATTCCCAATGAGGTCATTGGATTTTTCAATTGATTTAATCCTTCCAGGCACACTATGGCCCTGGGATCAACTCAGCCATCTGTGAGCCAACTGTCTAGAATATATGGGAGCCTTGATGTCTCACAACCATATGGGACTCCATAGCCTGTTACAGGGATAGCTTTACCTTTTACCATGTATAAGATGACTAATATGACCTCTTAATAACAACATGATAATAAAAATGTCATGCTTACTGCCGTTTTAGTCACACTCTAGACCTGTATTTGGGTAGTACATGCTCCAAATCTTGGCTATTCTGGCTTAGCAAACAATGAAACAATGGTGAACACAGATTGCTTTGTACAATATAAAGTACACATGCAGACAGTGGCAGACATAGACTGCTATTGCTGCCTCACCTGACTAGGGATAGAAAATTGGAGAAAACTGTGCAGATGAAATTATTTAATATGCATTATGTTTACAGTCATATAAACTTGTAATTTTATACCTCTTAGGGCTTCCTTGTATGGATTCCTCCAGGACATTCCCCTCCTTACGCCTTCTTTTAACATCACTTCGGCTCACCACCATCTCTCCAGGTAGAGGTCTCAAGTCAAATGCAGAAGCATACATTCACCAAAGTCCACAATGAATCTAATATAACAAATATTCAATTGCCCATGAATGAATATTACCTCAAATCTTATCCATGAAGTAAGTAAAAATTATGATGCACTTCAAAGTTCAAATATGGTACAGCTAAACAGGAGCAACATATGGACAGAACTCTTATCTCCAAGTGTTCGCTAATATAACAGATATTCAATAGCCCATGAACGAATATTACCTTAAACCTTATCCATGAAGAAAGTAAAAATTATGATGCACTTCAAAATCCAAATAAGGTATAACTAAACAGAAGCCACACATAGACAAACTCTTATCTCGTAGTGCTATCTATTGCTATATACCTATAAATCAATAAAACCTTTCAAAACAGCCATATCTATTCTTCCTGGATACAGTATTCATAACTGATCTTTAAATAATTCCCATTCATACGCTCTGACATAACAATTAAAACATGTGCCCAAAACAACAGCCATAAGAATTTTAGACTACAAATACATTTGGAAATGCAGTTTTACAGTGTTCACCTTTAGCAGAACGTCATATGTTCATAAATGAAATCTCTCAAGCTGACACACATAATGTTTACAATCAAGAGACAAAGCGGTAACGTTTTTGTGTTTCAAGACATTTCATGTGCTTCCATTCTTTGTTCAGCACATTGTGCTCGATGTATATCCATTACACACAGACTGCCGCACCAGACTAAGCCATTTTATGTTTTGGAAACTTTTATAAATTTATTCTACAAATACTGTAACTTTCTCTCAATGAAATATGAATAATTACAGTTTTAAATCGTCATGATCGAAATTGTTCTTCAGCATACACATCACGATTCTTCACGAAATGTTCGTCCTTAATGAAATAACGAAGGACAATGCATTTTGTCTTTAGGATATTTTATGTAGAAATTGTGCCTTGGGTAAAACGGCTTTACTAAACAGTACCAGTTACATTAGTTTTATCTCATTATGACACTTCAGTAAAAGCCTGGTCGTTTAATGACCTGGGCCTACAAGAGTTCAATCACCTGGACCTTGGTTGCCAAACTAAACCATTTCATTCCATTGTTTCGCTTTATCGGAACAGCTATTCGTTCTAACAAAATACACTTATATTACATCACTTAAACCGTTTAAAGGTATTCAAGAGACACAAATATATCTCCGGATTATATCTCCATACATCACATGGAAGAAATCCATTTTTGTTATTATTTTGTGCACGAGTTCCGACTGATGGCTGCAGATGGCGTTAAATGTTGTATTGACAGTAAATGGCGATCCATCAGAATCCATCAGGTAGGCAATTTCAAAAGTGGCCAAAATTTTCACACGATTTCCTCGTATGAAACAAGAGTCTACAGACGTGTGTTTCGCAGTCTTCATAAAGCCTTCCACATGGGCTTAATGATTCTTTTGCAGTAGGGTCCCACACATTGTGAGCGTGAAAATAAATTCTAAAATGTTGACATTAGGAAGCCCGAGAATTTTTCACAGGACGTTTATAATTAGTTTTCTTTCTTTCGATCTGCTTTACGGAGTTACTTTTGCAAGATATTAAATCCCCTTCACTTTGTTATGTGTCTATATGTGAATTATATTACTACAAAGTAATAGGTCTAATTCCAGTTACTGGAAAAGGTTACAAAACCTGAAATGAGCACGAACCAAATTCAAATTGTTACATCCTAACAGACTGACACGTACGCAAAAGTTGTGTTTTTTTTTGTAATGGAGGCTGCAATAATTTTGAGTGCCTTTATGATTTATTTTTTGTAACAGTCTAGTCAAACATATTCTTATATAATGAAATGTTTGGCTAGGCATTATTAGGCTTGATAAAATTTGGGTCAGGGCAGTGGCAGTATTGCATTCTTCAAATAGCTGAGATAAAAAAGAGGGATTTCTGTATGTTAAATTAAGGAAATTATAACGTAATATTATTGAAAATTAAATTACTGTACACTGAATTTATGAATCTGTTTATTTTTTTGTCAGCATTTCTTTTGGACTATAGTAGAGAACCTTGGAAAATGTATAGCAAAAATTGCTGTAATTCTAGACAAGTTTCATAAGGAAGTTTTCTATTTTCTTTTACAAAAAAAGACATCAATAAGATGTTTTGCTGTGCATTGCCAGAAGTGTCTTGCTCCTTGTCTTGATGCCATTATAAACATTATGACAAAAAGAGAAACCCTGTCCCAATATAGTCAGGTCCTTTCATGATGAAAAATGAGTGCACTCTGCAAACACTAATTGAAGGGGGGACGTATGAGTGTTTAGATAAACATAAGTAGGTTATGTCAGTTGTTTGTGGCAGAAAGCATTCACATTCTCATTAAAGGACTGACCTGTACATGCAGTATCATGAATGGATTAAATATAGGATAAATTAAGCATATACTGGAACTCACAGCTACTACATTCAAAGCAAAAATAATCATAACCCACTGACATTTGTCATATTAGGTGATCCTAAAGAACAGCCTTCTTCATTTTCTATCCTCATATCAGAAGTCTTCTGTGTTTGTTTCCATTCCTACCCTATATTGTTTAATATGTCGACCCTCCTTTTGTCTCTCCACCCAGTCTTTGGTTTCCTCAATTGTCACTTGTTTGACATCATAATTATTGAAATCCTAAATGGAATGTTATCCATGTGTAATGTGTATACCACTATTTGTTTATCTGAACCAACATCCATGTAGCATTTTTTATGTTACAGTCTTGTCTAATATCCTAGTTCCTAACATCCCATCTGGTCCATTTCACAGTGCTCCACAGATACCTTATCTCTAGTGCATGTAACATAACAGTAAGTTTTCCTTCAAACATTAAAGTAAAAAGTGAACACACCTTAAATTAACTGGCAGTAAGATTCATTTTCAATATATTAACAGCAATCAGGAAGTATAACATTGCAACATCCAAGAGAAGTTCATTGTTAACAATACGTGTACAACCAACTTCATGGTATGAAGACAGTTGAGAAATTCCCACCCTCATGGAATCTGAAGGTTCATTACTGTGTTTATAACAGCTCTCAATAGGATTCTACCCATTGCCATCAGTATCTGACCCACACCATTACAATATATTTTATGATCCATCTTAATATTACCCTCTTGTCTGTGCTTGGTTTCCTCAGTTCAGATTTTCTGACTGGATTTCTTATCTCCCTCAAGCATGACACATGTCTTATTCATTCTCTTTGAGTTGATCACCCTATGTGGTAAAGAATACAAATCAGAAGCTCTCCAATAAGCATTTTCCTCCAACCTCCTCTTATTTCTTCTTGATCAAGTCCAAATATTCTCATCACTGTCATACTCATACCATCCAACATCATTTTGATGAGCAAGTCAAGCAAGAAATCAGCATGAAGCAGACAGAAATAAAAAGTTTCTGCTTGATTAAGACAGTCTCTGGGGTTTTACATTAAAATGATGCAACTGATCACCTAATTTTATTGCATCATCAGCACAGACCGAAAGCTGAAGTGTTCCATTCAATTCCAATCCCTTTTGTGTTTCCTGACCTTCCAAATGGCTGATTTTAATGAAAAGTTTCAAATAATCCTGAATGGGAAAGCATCAGACAAATGTTTACCTACAGTAAAATTTAACAAGTTTCAATACTTTAATTGGCCTATATAAGTGAGCTTAAAAAATTCAGTGAGAAAATAATGCAGTATTTCTCTCCGGAATCATATTCTCTTAAAGCCTATAAATAGCTGATATATTCTCCAACATAATCCAACTTCCTTTCAAGTATCTGATAAATTAAGAACATCTGAACAATGCTTGATCTACTGTGTCAGAAGCCTGTATTTTCATCTATATACTAACCAATCTTGAGAGAATATCTGACAATCTTGTATGACATCAGTAAGAGTAATATTCAACCATTACTGCAGTCAGTTTTGTACCCTCTTTTATAAATAAAATAATAGATTCACTCCACTACTGAGCTATTTCTTCCTTATTCCAATAGTATGAGTAAGTTTTTTGATATGAAAAGGCAACATTCTACTACCTGCTTGGGTCAGTTCTGCCATAATTTTATCACTACCTGGAGACTTGTAACTTTACAAGTTTCAATAACAATATCAATATCAACTTCAACAAAACTAGGCTCAGATACTAACAGCTAAGCTGTGTGTATTTCTATCACCCTAGAATCATTAATCCCATGCACATTTACTAGCTGACAGTTTCTCAACCTAGTTGATACATTCTGGTAATTTACAAGTAGACCACATTCTCATCTTTCACTATGTTAATTTTAGGTGAGAACCTCTTCTTACATTCATTTATACGTTATGTTATGCATGTGTCTTAGGCTGCTATTCTGTCTGTACAACTGACACACTCTTGTAACCTATCAACACATACACAAAAAGATTTATTTAGAATTAGAATTATGAGGAACTGTTTTGGAAGAGACTGTGGACCTGTCGTCTGACAGATTACTGATGAATGAATGTCTTTGTTCAGGGCATAACATATAATAGAAAACCTTATTTTAAACATGTACTGTATATTGATTATAAACACAACTTTTATACACCGTTTTATTTGCGTGGAGATTGCTGTACAAATCCTCATTCGTTCTGTGCCAGCAGGACAACTTTTGGAACATGTAAGTTGAAGGTGCATATATACATACGAGGGGGGACCCAAAAATAACCGGAATTTATTTGTTATTTTTTTATTTTTGCATTTTTATTGAACTGTATATTAGTCCCCTTCAAAGTATTGTCCATGTGCATTAATGCACTTGTCCCAACGCTTTTGCCACTGCTCAAAACAGTGCTGGAATTCTTGAGGCTGGATACTGTTCAAAGCCTTTAGCGTGTTTTCTTTGACTTCATCCACATCACGGAATCGCTTTCCTTTCAGACTTCTCTTCACCCGTGGAAACAAAAAAAAAAGTCCGACGGAGCCAGGTCGGGTGAGTAAGGTGGATGAGGCACAATCACCATGTTGTTGCTTGTCAAAAACTGTCGGACCGTCAAAGCTGTGTGGGCTGGAGCATTGTCGTGGTGAAGCAACCAGTTCCCATTTCTCCACATTTCGGACCGTTTTCGTCGCACACTCTCTCGTAATCTTCGTAACACATCCAGGTAAAAATGTTGGTTCACTGTTTGTCCTGGCGGAACGAACTCTTTGTGGACAATGCCATTCACATTAAAAAAACAAATCAACATTGTTTTCACATTGGATCGCACTTGACGCGCTTTCTTCGGTCGTGGTGAAGTTGGAGTTTTCCACTGGCTTGATGATTGCTTTGATTCTGGATCGTACCCGTAGCACCAAGACTCATCGCCAGTCACAATTCTTTTAAGAAATTCTGGATCGTTCTGCACTTCACTCTTCAAGTCGCGGCAAACATTCACGCGGTTTTCTCTTTGGTCATCTCCGAGCAAGCGAGGAACAAATTTTGCAGACACCCGTCTCATGTGCAAACCTTCGGTTAAAATTCGCTGGACCGTGCTCCATGAGATGTTCGTTTCCTCAGAAAGTTGGTCAATGGTCTTTCGACGATCTTCATCAATTGCACGTTTGATTTTGGCAATGTTTTCGTCATTTCTTCCTGTCGAAGGACGCCCGGGGCGTGGCATGTCTTCTGTTGACATGTTGCCAGATTTGAAACGGGAAAACCACTCGTAGACCTGTGATTTCCCCAAAGCATCATCATTAAAGGCTTGCCGAAGCATCCCAACAGTCTCGGCTGCAGTTTTCCCTAACAGAAAGCAAAATTTCACGCACACTCTTTGTTCCTTCTGGTCGGCCATCTCACTAATCGCCAAAGGGTTGAAACAGGAACGCACACAACAGAGCACCACAGACAAACCACTTAACTCAGACTGACGCCAGCTCACTAACAGTCTCGGGAGACCCCCAGCTAACACCACCTAGCAGCACAACTCGTAACTACAAAGCATGCGCGCGCAACAGGTCGGTTCCGGTTATTTTTGGGTCCCCCCTCGTAACTTAGAAAGTTATTTAAATATATCTCAAATAATAGTGTATGAAAAAATCAATGTGTGCTTTATAGCTTGTTTGACATGCATTTATTTCAAACATGAAGAAATGCTTCATATTTAATGTTCTGAAATTATGCCAAAATTTCATTTGAGGTCAGAACATAAAGGCATACTGTGATGGTAGGAGTCACATATATATTGTCACATGACAAATAACTTCACGCTGTCTTGAATGTAGCGAATTTATTGTACACTCGTTCTTAGACTTACACAGTTCACAATTTCACAAATAGTGCCATCTGCAGTATCCCAATTACTTCTCCTGCTGTAGTAACTTCCATTCACTCGATACGAGTCAACTCGTAGCTGCTGGACTTCAACTCATACTGAATACTAGTAACTCTCTCTGACGAATACTCCTCGTTATGTAGCTTCTGCATTGACAACACAGAAAAGTTACATGATAGCTACCACTGTTGCGTAACGTCGTGTTTACTGATTGCCTAGCAATAGTCGTTGCGTGGACTTGCCCGTTGCGTGACATCACAGCCTAGTGGGGAGGGGTGTTTACTGAGCGTTGTGTAGTTACAGAATGAGTGGGGTATGTGACGTCACTCGCACTTCCTGTTGCGCAATCTAAGCATTCACAGAGTTGTCGCCTAGCAATGCACCAATACAATCCACAACTCTCATGTTGCGCATGCACCCTGAGGCCTCTGTGGCTCAACAGTTCCTGCATAGAGCCAATACGCCACAATATATTCTATTGCAGTGATGTGAAGAGTCTGACTTTCCCCATGCAAAAATGTTCACTTATGTGTAAATGTGTATGAGTAAGACTGGGATTTATGCTTGGGCATGTGAAACTGCAAAAACTAGTAAAAGCCATAATTTGGTTAACACTTACACAGCTGCACTAAAGACTTGAGGCACAGAGCAATGCCACCTCAATTTATTTTTGTTATAGATGCTCCTGTGTACTATTTCTGTCACTCCAGTCAGATGTTTACCTTTCAAGTTTAAAAAAATAAAGCTATTCCTGTAAGAGGCCCATAGGGGAATGAGATGTTGAGGTTCCCACATTTTCTAGACAGTTGGCTCACAGATGGCGGTGAGGTTGTCAGCTTTACATCCTGATCACCCTTCACCCCCAGGAAGATTCCTAGTACTCATTTCTGTTGGAGGCTGAGTTGTCCCCAGGGCCATAGTGCGACTGGAAGGGTTAGGTCAAAGCTCTATACATGCGTCCCAGAGTAAAGTGGCTGAAAATAAGTGATGGAAATGGCAGAGAATTTCTAAGGGTATGACACTCATGTTCAACAGGATTCATCAGCTTGGTCATGGGTGCATGCCTAACAGATATGTCAAATGTCTGAATAAATACATGTAAATTTTTTTTTTTTTTGAGGATGAAAAACACTATATGTAGCTGGAAGATATGCAGTGATATCAGATACTTTTCAATTCAGTTTTCATAATTACTGCATGAAAAAATTAATTCCAGGGCCACATCACTTTTCACCATGGGAAGAAAGATGGAGAGAAAAATAGATTTTTTTACTAGTTGAGTTATTCTAGATTGCCAGGAATTATGATTCTAATGGACTGGGCACTCTGTGTGTTACTGTGCAAATGACAAATACTTATCAGAAAATTCCTGAATGCCAAAACTGAAAAATCAATGTTCAAATCCAGACATTTTTGTCTCAATATGATCTCCAACATTTGAGATGCACACATGTCTAATTATAAATATTTTGCATAGTTAGAGACCAGTAAAACTTCAATAAACCTTTCACTAAAAATTAGCTGAACATTTGACATTATACACAACAACACTGTAGATTTATATGTCTATATACTGTGCAATGTTACAGAATAACCTGCTGCATTATCATTATTAAAACAAACCTACAAAATTTTATTACATTTTTTTACATGATCCTGTCAAAGAATCATTCAAAACAATTTAATTCAAAAGAGCATAAAACACTGCTACCATTAATACATTAATGAGCATGAACACATTCACAATATCTCATGACAGCACTTCTTAAAATGCTACAAACTTTAAGATTAATATACAACCATAACATTTCACAGTGTTATATACAAGATGGCAATGAAATAGGCTCATGTGGCAAATATCAATTTGTGGCTTCTATTACGAGTTCATAATAGTTTAGAAACCACATATACCCCCCCCCCAAAAGGGGGGGGGGGAACACCTCTCTGGCCTGTAGCCCGCAAGTGAACTATACAAACCGAGTGACCGCCACTTGTCGACGAAGTTAGTGCCAACTTTTCCAGATAGAGTGTGTCTTGTGGTCAGTGCAACGGATCCCCACAACCAAGCATAAATATTATTTAAATATCACACACAATTAACTTTATGCAACTGAAGTTCTTTCTAATCCTCTGAATCTTCATCAACATCAGCATCATTAGGAATGTCAGGTTGTAAACGAACATTAGCAAGAAGATCCCTCATTGCATCCAGCAAAGATGTCACACTTCGAGCTAAGTCAACTCGGGCAGCTGCTGCACCTTCTGCTTCCTCTCCTCCACCAGCATCATTCCTGTAACATCCATATTTCCTTTCATCATCTCTTGCTAGTGTTATGTCAATCCAAAGACTATGTACGTGGGGCAATCCAAAAGTTTCCGAAATTTGAATTTTGTGCGCGAATGGTTACGAGTGCATCAAAATACCGCTAGGTGTCTCCTCACACATCCTTCTTGAATCAGTGTGGCAAGTGACGTCGAGTTGAGTGGTTGGGTTTATTATTGGTGAACGTATTTCCATTGTTGTGTTTCCGTGAGTTTGCGGTTTTGCGATGGCTGACCTGAGAGAGCAGCGTGTCTGTATAAAGTTTTGTTTCAAACTTGGGAAAACCGCTGCAGAAACGCACCAAATGTTGAAGCAAGCTTTTGGTGAAAACAGTTTAGGCCAGACACAAACTTAACTGGTATAAGCGTTTTAAAAATGGCCAAACATTGACTGATGATGACGATCGTTCGGGACAGCCGTTAATGGGCAAAACACCAGAAAATGTCGTGAAAGTTAGGGATCTGATTCTGCAAGATCGTAGACTGACCATCCAAGACCTCTGTAACACCTTGGGACTAAGTTATGGTACATGTCAACGAATTTTGTCAGAGGAACTGAACATGAGGAGGATTGCGGCGAAGTCTGCAGGGAACTTCAGCAACAGCTTCAAGAGGATCCAGACTTTCTTTCAAAGGTTGTCACTGGTGACAAAAGTTGGGTTTATGGCTACGACCCTGAAAGCAAGCAGCAATCGTCACAATGGAAGAGCCCTTCTTCACCTCGGCCAAAAAAAACTCGACAAGTCAAGAGCAACATTAAGTCCATGTTGATCTGTTTTTTTGATATTGACGGGATTGTTCATAAGAAGTTCATCCCTCCTGGTCAGACAGTCAATAAAGAGTTCTATCTCGATGTTCTAAGGTGTCTGAGGGAGGATGAGGAGAAAACGTCCAGAGAAGTGGCGCACGAACGACTGGGTACTCCACCATGACAACGCACGACCGCATATGGCTTACATTGTGCAGGAATTTTTGGCTAAAAACAAGATGGCAGTTGTTCCCCACCCACCGTACTCGCCAGACTTAGCTCCATGCGACTTCTTTCTCTTCCCCAAGATGAAAATCAAGTTGAAAGGGCGAAGATTTGATACAGTTGAGGAAATTCAAGCGGAAACGCAGACGGTACTAAACACCCTAACAAAGAAAGACTTCCAGGATGCATGTCAAAGGTAGCAGAAACGCTGGGATCAGTGTATGTACTCCCAAGGTGACTACTTTGAAGGTGATGGTGCAGAATAAGATACAGGTAAGATGTAATAGTTATATTTTGGGAACTTTTGGATTGCACCACGTACATCAAATGAGACATGTTAATCTATTAGATGGAAGGAAATTACCAGTGAAGCAACTATGGATGAGATAACTGGGGTCCAAATCCCAGAGAGGCAGAGATCTGTCCTCTTGCCACTATATCCAGGCCAGCTATTGGGCCACTGAGCTTCCTATTCTAGGGTGAAGTGGCCAGGATGTGAACCTGACAACTGTCTTCCACTTAGTGCCAAAATTAAGAATGCATGGGCCTTTACCTTACTTAACGAGAAGCTTTATACTTGTCAAAGAAAAAGGAAAGAGATCACTTGGGAAACTGGAGGGTAATAATAAAATGGAGAAACAGGGTGTGAGGTTGTGGACCGAGAACAAGGTCCAATGGCAGACTTCTGTGAACACAGTAATGCACTAATGATCATTATACACTGTTACACAAACTTGGTGTCTGTAATACACAATTGGTTCCACCTTGGAATTGATTATATCTTACAAAGTTTGTTTGATGGTGTATAGCTACAGTCTTTTAATTCTTACACAGACCAGACACATCATTATAAACACAATAATGGACCTTTGAATCCCATAAAAGGATGGAATTTCTTGGAACAGCTCAGTGACTACAAATTCTGCTCTGCAATTATGCTCCTGTATCATGGAGTTGGAAGTACCAATGTGAATGGTAAGCTGTTTGCACGCCATTATCAGCTTTGTTCTCTGGGAGGTCCCAGACATAAAACTGATGAAGATATGCAAGGACAATGGGCAGAAACATGACTGGTGCATCATTCATATCCAAGACTCAAATAAGTCGCTTCAAGATATGCACTGTAATTTAATTAATGACTGGTCTTTGTATTTATTAGACATCTGCTGACAGCAAACTGTACGCTTACATTAACTGAAGGCCATCCACAGCAGGTGCTGGTTCATTAATGTTGAAGTTAGGAAGCAATGACCTGAAGAATACTGTGAAAACATTGGAATGTTCATACATTTTTGGCTGTTGAGGACGCACATATAGGTTGACAGAGTCCAGAGGTGGAAGAGGATCATAACTTAGAATAGGTCCTTCAGAATCCTGAAACACAAGAAATTTACTTCTTTTGGCTTGTTCTGGACTTCATCCATCATCTGGTATGTAAACGACAAAAGACCACGACGTTTCACAGTGATTGAGACTAGCTCTTTCTAATGGGCCCAACTGAGTAGGTTTATCCTTCCTTACCCACCTGAAGACGGAGACAGATCAAATGTCGTGGTCTTTTGTCTTTTACATACCAGATGATGGATGAAGTCCAAAACAAGCCAAAAGAAGTACAGTATACACCAACGTCAGAATCCTTTCAAGTCTACAAGAAATTTAATCACACAATAAAAATAAAGTATTTACACCAGAGTTGTTTAGTCCTTCACCAAAAGCTGTTGTGGATAATGTCCCCAGTTAGTCTTAATGATATTTCACATGCATTCAAAACAACAGTGGAACTATAGGTTTCATATATTTTAATCATTACATAAAAAAGATGTGTTGGGAAAACAAATGATTCTGACCTAAATGGTAGTAAGTATTCCAAAAATTTAATGTGCTCTTAATTTATTCATGAATGTAATTTTGATTTCTTACTGTCATTCCCAAATATTTGAAATTGCCAGAGTTTCAGAGGATCTATCAGCTGTCTTTTTTGCTCTGATTTTGTCCTGCATTCTGTTGGAGAGACATCAACATATACTTAGTTTTCTCTGTGTTTACTTCTAGCATCTAATAGAGCTTCTGATTTTTTCTTTAGGGCATTTAAGTTTTGCCAATAAACTGACATCATTAGCATAGTCAAGAAACTGGTATGTTCCACTCAATTTCAATCCCTCCTAGTGGTGTATTCTGAAACAAAGTTGAAATGCAATGGCAATAAGGCACCTCCTGGTCTCAGGCCATTCTGTTTAGGAAATCTTCCCAGTCCAAAAATTGTCCTATTTTGACATTACATAATCTCTGTAATTGATGAAGCATTGTTAAATAAACCAAGACCCAATCTAATTTCTAAATTTATGACCTTATCCCTCACTCTCTTTTGTACTCCTCAAAGGTTTAACTTTCACAGCTTGTAACAAGTGTATTGTTTTTTTCTTCTTTATAGAAACAACAATAAATTATGTAATATACTAAACTACTGCTATATTATGTATCTCATTATTGCTCATACCATCTATAAAGTGAGAAACCAAATACAAGCTATGAAAATTAAGCTTTTGATGAAGTCAGAAGGAAAGATAGGGACAAAGAAGATTATAAAGTACAAAATTATACTGACTTTTGTTTATATAACACATTCACTGCATCTACACTGGGATTTTACTTGCTGATCAGCCATCTTTCCACAAAAACCGGATTCTGAATTTACTACATTCGAAATGAAAATGGCACAGAACAAAGTATTTGTTGTTTACAACAAAGATAAATTCAAATTAAATTCTGATGTCTATAACATGAATACTAGACAAAAATATAACTTCCACCTACCCTCATCAACTTTATCAGTATATCAAAAAGGAGTCTACTTTACTGGCATAAAAGTGTTCAACAATCTGCCACAAAGTATTAAAAACTTGGGCAATGATACTAAAAAGTTTAAATCAGAGTTAAAGAATTATCTACATGCTCATTCCTTCTACTCTTTAGATGAATACTTCAATGTAAATAGAGAATGATGTAAAATTAAGTTATATTAATTTTTAAGCTAAAATTGCCTGTACTTATGTATGTTACCTTTTGACTTGTTCTGTATCCAAAGGTACTAACCTACTTACGATTTATAGAATGTAAATAAATTCAATTCAATAAACACAACAGACAATCACAGTATACTTAGGCTCTTTTATGTGCCAACAGGCTCCATACAAAGTTCTTCTGTATTTCAGTAATGTCTACAAGGGGGGAAAAAAAACACGCACACGCACGCGCGCACGCACACACACACACACACATACAAACATTTCATTTCATTTCACAAGTCCAAACAAATGGACATGAAGGTCATCATACAAAATTTAAACAAACACACAGATAATAAAATAATTAAAACTAATTGTTTATGTTATGCTCCACATATTCAGAAACTGTATAAAAGGACTTATTCATAAGATATAAAAACAGCCTATTTTTAAAACTAATTCTATCCTTTTTAAGGCTTTGAATGGTTATGGGCAATCTGTTGAATAGTTTAATACCAGTAAACATAGTTTCTTTCTGAAAAGCAGAAAGATTCGAGTTTGGCAAATATAATTGCTTTCGATACATAGTATAGTGGACATAATGGTCATGTCCAACATAATCATGGTATAGTGACTCAAATATTTTTAAATACTTTTAACAAAACCTCTCTCTCTAGAAACTGGGTGTGAATACAGCCGCATTATAGCTTCAATGAAGCTTACCTCTGTTAGTGTTGCTTTCACCTCTTTCATATCAGAGAGGATTATATGTCTCAAGATGTTTCGAGGAGTCTTCTGGTACCTTCTCTTCCTTTTCTCCTCACACTCCGCAACAAACTGATCACACTCGTCAACACGATCTAGCACCACATGGACGTTTCTTTCAAGCCAATCCAGCATACCACATTCCTTCCACAAATGGTAGTTACGACATATATACAACTGTATCAGCTGGCTCAGTGATGGACTCTGACTGAAAGAACAGAAAGGAGCTCTCATCAGTACGTTTCATGAATGTGTGTCAATATAAAGGAGAGATAATCTTAATAAAATCACGAATATCTGCAAAGAACTGAAGCCCAATTTCCTTCACATGCTTCAATCTATATGGTCACACCAGCAGAACTATAAATTAATAATTATATGATGTAATGATCAATTTATGTACACAATTTCGCTAGTACAGACACTGACTAGGCTAACTTCATCACACATAACTCAAAATTTCATACTGTCACCATGTTTGTAACTTGAAAAAATTCCATATAAAATGTATAGGTATGTTCATACTCCATCTTCATACCAAAATTTAAGATGCCTAGGTCCAATGGTTCTTTACTTCCAACAAAAGGATATCACAATAATTATAGATTTTGGACAACTATCTTGGCTTTGTTTTACATTCTACAAACACATCACCTCAGAAATGTCTCATATTTCATTAAGAGCTACTGCCATATGCAATTACACTCCCTTATGGTATTAGTGTTGTCCTGATTTCAGGAGTTTGCTTAGTCATTATGCAGCTATTACTGGTGGTAGGAAGTTGAAAGATACGAGGGTAGGTCTGTCATCAGTGTTCAAGTTAAATGGAAATCTGCTACCTGGTTTCAACATTATTATGGAAGGATACACACATGGACATGAAGATACTATAAGCCTTTTTTTCTTATAGCTGAACTTGACTCAACTTCAGAGTGCAAGCTCCTACTTGAAAGGTTCACAGTTACTTAGATGACCAGAAATTTCTCACTTGTAAGGAACCTTGTGGCTCATTTCCAGATTTTCCTTATAAAATACAAAAGTGGGGGGGGGGCAGGAAAGATGATACAAGCATAAGAAAACCTTACTTTATCTCTCTGTAAGGGTATTTTAACCCCACTGATGGTGTCTCCATCGTACTGTGGTGGTGGGGTTTTAGTGCTCCTGAGACCCTGAGAGCTATCCCGGTGGTAGGGTCACCCATGCTGGACAGGTCAGGGGTAGGAGCCAAACGAAGTGGGACACCCTGGTCCTCCAGGTTGAGGGATGGGTGTGAGGCTAACAACCTCACACCATAAAAGCTAAATTGTTCAGAAACCAGTTAATCAGCCTCAGATGGATGGACAAGGATGATAGGAAAACCCAGGCTGAGATGGTTGGAAGATGTACATGATGATCTCCATAAAATGAAAGTGAAAGGATGGGGAGGAAAGATGAAGAATAGAGGCAGATTGTTCAGGGGGGGGGGAGTATTTTAAGCATGCAATGCCATCAGTCTTACTTTAGTTTAAGGCAAATGTTAAGAACATACCTCATCATAGCTTTCGTGGTGAAGAAGGGATGACTAGATACCCTGGAATCTGGCTGAACAGAACATTTATCCAACAGGGGCAGGAGCACCCCAGGGAACATAATTAGGGCCTTTTGTAAGAGATCATTGGACACAAGTTTGTTTTCTGACTCTGGATCTTCATCCAACTGAAAATAAGCCATTGCTACAGAAAATGCAAAGTTTGGCAGCTGTGACACATTTCGTACTGGTTCCCATTCTTCGTAAGCACAAATCAGCCATTCATATTTCATTGACCGAAGTGCATAGAAATCTATACAAAGGATCACACCAAGGGGATCTTCCTCAGGATCCAGTGATAGAAGCAATCTACAAATCTCCAGAGCTGTCCGGTAGCAGGCACGTTGGCCGACAAATGTCAGATGCTTGAAGAGAGTTATGAACAGGGCCCTGTAACATATATAAATTATTTTTACTGGCAAGCTTTTTATGAACTCTTAGTGAAAAATATAGCAATAACTGCTTATAACAAAATCATAAGGAACTTGATAATTTCTGTTTCAGATAAATTTCTGTTCAACACTGGTCTTACTAACAGTTAATAAAAATATAGAAAAGTATGTTATGTATGTACTTATAGTCAAAATAATTAGCCAGTATAATTTTTTTTTTAATTCGCTTAGTGGGGGGTTGGAGTCCAGCTGGGTCCACTGATTGGTCTATTGTAGCCTGTCCCGGGTGATTATGATGGAGTATTTGGTGGAATGAAGATGGGAAACTGAAGTACTTGGAGAAAACCCGCCCCAGCGCCACTCTGTCCACCACAAATTCCACTTGACCAGACCCAGGATCAAACCTGGGCCACTGCGGTGGGAAGCCAGTGACTAACCGCTTGAGCTATGGCGCAGCCTAGCCAGTATATAAATATGTATGCAACACTGTTTCTGAATAGTACACATTCCAAATATTCTTTTTCCTTCTTTCTTCACAATACTGTTCAGAGCCTTTCCAGAGTCTGCACTAATTCTTTCCCAGTTACATTACTATGCATGTTGGAACACAAAATATATTTGCTTCTGGGGCAAATCCAATTTTTATTTCAGGTACCAAGCTGGAAACTATCATAATGCAATGAATATAGAAAATCTTCAGTGCTGGGAGCCAATTTCTACCAAATTTAGAACACACACTCATCATAATGGACAATGCATCACACCACAGTATCCTTTCGGAGTACTGCGAGTATTATTGGATTAATAAATTTCGACTGATTGATGCTGCTATTCACTGCAGTCACAGATGAATCATAACTTATTATATACTGCCAGTACTTTTACATGAACCACATACCCACTACCATCTTGTGACAAAAGTATTAACGTAGCAGAAATGAATTTCTGACTCGTGTATAAATACTGGAAGTATGCTGAAAACATAACCTAGTAAACTGTTTAATGATATAATGATGTACATCATTAACTGATGATCTCACACCCTGACAGGTTCTTTTCCTGGAAAATGCTGCCCAAAATCTGCACGCACCTCAGTCACAAGCTCTAGTAGGACTTTCCTAAAATTTTTCCTCTAAAGTCTGGATGCATCTTACAGTCAGAACAGTAAGGTACTGCATAGAGTATAATTCAAACTCAAGAACGCAGTACATCTACACAATGAGACTTACCTGTTCTCTTGCCTCCGGTAATCAAGTCTACAGTTTCCCTTGGCCATATTAAAGAGTGGATGAAAGGCACATTCCAAACAATACAGTGCCCTTTCATTGAGTTGTGCTGCCATCTGCAGATCCTCACTCATTTTGCAGAGGTCAGACAGCTGAATGAGTGTATCTACATGGTAAGGGTGCTCATTGATTATTGCCTAAAATAATACATATCAATAACAGACAGAGGTCAGAAAATGTTGGCTTAGTTTGACAGTCACAAATATTTCACTTGCCCAGTACCTGGATTTCATTAACTAACTCACAGTATTGGTTCTTCCTTATTACTATGGAGCCCAAAGGTTTAATAACATGTTAAACAGACCCTGCCACAAGTTCTATTCAAGCCAGTTGAATCCAGTCCATGGTCTCATACTATATTACACAAAGATAAATTTTAATACAACAATCTCATCTATGCCTAGGTCTCCCAAATGGATTCTTCCTTTCAAGTTTTCTGACAAATTTTGTATGACTAATATTACACTACCCACCTCACCATCCTTGATTTAATCACCCTAACGACATACCTGGATAGTATAAATCATCAAATTCCTCATTTTATTTTCTACATCCTCATTTACTCTTTTCTGAGGTCCAAATATGCTCCTCAGTATTTCTTTTTAAATACTCTCAATCTATGTTCTTCCCTTAGAATGGTAGACCTAATTTAAACCCACATAAAATAAACATTTAAGACAAGAGACATACTAATACAGTAATGTTCTATTTCCAGTTACAGTTTTTAATCATAACTACAAGAAGATGAGAAAATAATTTGCCATGACTATGAGTACCCAGAAGTGATACACATTTACATATGTTCCTGTGCTCTGTATGCAGTTACATAACTGAAATATGAAGTGGCCAAATTAGATCTGAAGCTCAAGGAGAAAACATTGGCTTTATTTTTTAATACTGTAAATCATGGGCATCAGATAGAAAGGAGCAGCAAAACAAATTCCTAAATCAGTGTATTGTAGTTACATCTCAAATTTTACATTAACAGTGGTGAAGTTTGCCATTCATAGTAACAGCTTCAAAGAAACACATATTTTATTTAAGAAACTGGGGCTTCACATGTTTACAATTCCGTCAAGTTCGATAGTGTTACTAATATTGGAAAACTAAAAAATATGGTCTAAGAAGCTCTTTTAAGCAAGCACTTTCCATTAAAATAATGACAGCTAATGGCAGAGAGATAACTGCTGAAAGACTGACCTACTAGAATTAGTACAACCTGCACCTAGAACACAACGTGCTCTCTATGCACTGTGTTACCATAATCTCACCACATTACTGGACACTACAAATACTGAAGAATTCTACCTTCAGGGATATAATTCCATGTAGACCAGTGGAAGTCAACCAATGTTTCAGAGGAGTACATCGCCTCCATCTTCACGCTTAAGAGTAAAACAAACAAGAAATCAACATGAAGCAGGTATTGTTTCTTGCTTGGCTTACTCACCAAGACTGAAGATGCAGGTAACACATTTCTCTGAAATGTCAGTTCAGTTTTACCAGACTATACAGTGTTATATCCAAGAAGACAGAACTCTTTATAACCACAGGTGTGAGAACCTCAAATCCAATATTACAAATATTCTCTCACTCACTACTTACTACAATATTGTCAGGGTTGAGACTTTCAACTGCCTCCAGGAACCTCTTCTGTATTTGCTGGTAGTTGGTGTTATGTTCATATTTGAAATATGTACAGTCATGGTGAAGATTTCCAACTAACTTCATTGATAACCCTATTAAAATGAAAACAAAATTATTCCACATTATTCAAATATGACAATGGCAACATTTAGACAAAAGATGACTCCAAGGATTATGACCATCTACACATTAAGCACATGTGCTGTCTTCCGCTCCAACACTACTGTTTATTAATTCTGTATTTCAAAATCCTGTTGCAAATCTTTAATTAAATGTCTGTGTATCCACAGTCCATCAATAATGCAACAATTGTTGCATTACTGACAGACTGTGGATACATACTGTTTAGTACCTGTAAGTCAAATTACAGAAAAGCAGTTTCATGCTTTTGTGGCTCTTGCACTAGCCAGCAGGGTTACAGGAAACTGATTTTTGCGTAGCACCAAACTTGAAAGTTTGCAGTTTATTTATGTCTCTTTTATCAGTAATCGATAACTAAGAAGATATGTTAACTCTGTTACTGTAATAGCTAACTGAAGTCCAACAACAATCCATTACCATACACTGAGGGATTCCACTTTAGTCCACAAGAAATAATCTTCCCCTTTGCTGTGCCACTGGACTTCATTCACTAGGCATGTTTGTTCTTTTTTTTTGGGGGGGGGGGGATATTTTAAAGTTAAAATTGCATTATTTTACAGGAACTGAGAGAAAATAATATTCAAATGGTTAAGCATTATGATAAATAAAAAGTGTGGTAGTAACATAAATGAACACAAAGGCAAAGATCATTTAAATAAGACAAGTTGCTTCACTCTTTTGAGCATTATGTTAATTAGAAGAGCAAGCTTCTCTATGTGAAGGAGGGACTCAAAAGTCGTCATTCTTTCTATCACTACTACACACATTCCAAGCATATCTGAACAAAATTTGCCTGACAGATTCATGCTATGCACTTTTAAAGAATATAAATTTCAGTATGTCCTGCTGCAAGTTGCTAACCAGTACATATATGCATGCATCAAGTTTTCTTTGACATGATGTGTTAAAATAGTTGAATGAGTAACTGTCACCTACGATGTTCAACTTCAAACTCCATCTGTTCAGGCAGATATTCTTTTTGCAGTACAAACTTTCCCTAAGAGCTCTGAGCTTGGATGTACAGAAGCCATTACTTGTTTGATGACTGGGGGGAAACAGTTCTTAGTTATCTTCCGTGATTGCTACAAGAAATTTAGCAACAGGCAGACCTCCATTACACACTTATTAGGCACTTAAACACCCCTTTAACAAGCATAACACAGTTTTTCCTATAAAAACACACCTCATAATGTATCATATGGAGGGACAAAGCTGATCCAGAAACAAAGGCATCACAAACTGTACTACAGAAAAAATATTTGAAGTTTGGACATTCTGCCCAACATAGCCTTTTCGTTTATTCAACACAGAATTTTCATGACAGTACTTAACCCTTTCACTGCTAGTATGTTAAGCAACTCTCAGCACCCTCTGTGCTGAATTATTCTTGAAGAAATCATTTATAAACAATTTAAGTGCAAAGTATGAAAATTTGTGATAAAATGTAACTAATCTTACTGCAGACAGGGAACTGGCAGCAGAATTTTAAAAAAATGTTGAATTATTCAGTATTTCTCACAGGGGAAAAGTCCATTTAAATCAGGGTTGTCCAAGATGGCCAAAAAAAAGTACATAATTCACTATCCTAGTCTTATCACTATGTCATATGTCGACCAAAGTACAGAACGTTATTTAAAATTATTATAGAAAGCACCGTGCACTATATGAAGCCATTTTTACTAGCCCTGTGAAATACCCACGCCACATGACCATGGAGCGCGTGCCTCGCTGTGCAGATGCAACCTTTTACATTTCTTAACCTAGAGGGCAGAACAATGCAGCCATTGAACTGAATGATGCTTCGTTACGTTCCCAATGGATGGCTTTATGCACCCACCAAGTTAAAATGAGATTGGTGCAAAGAAACCTGAGTTTTGAAACTCTAAAGTCGCAATATGGGTTTTGTTGATCGCAGCAAGGACACCATGTTTTTCAGAGATTGACATATGTCGACCACTGCAGTGTAAGGGTAAAAACAATCAATGAAATGGCCTGACAGGATCTAAAGCACATTATCACATGTTAACCAAGAGGAAAATCCTCCCAAATAAGTTTCCTGTGCCACTCTTTAAAGTAACTGAATGCCTATAAATCAAATCATCCAACTTTCCTGTGAAAAATCTGATATCTGGTCTTATATATTTAAAGCACAGTAAAAGTCACTTTAACTAAAAAATTGCCCTAAACAATTTGTGGCAACAAAATTATATTATACATTATATTATATACTATGAATGCCACAAGAGAATTCAGATGATAAAAGTACTGATGACTGACTGACTTTGGTTTACCTTATTCATGCTACAGCCCTTACTACTGTGCACCTAACAGCAACCCACCACTTTGTCTCAATCCAAGAATATACATGTTCAGAAAGTCTCATGGCTAATGTATGAACAGAACAGTGAATACCTAGTTTTCCAATTGGTAGCCAGTTCTCTTTAGGTGAAACAAGACAAGTTGGCTTGGGATATCCACGGCCTCTTCTTTTACTGAAACAATAAAATGTATTTTGTATCTGACGCATAAAACAAACTCCGTGGCTTGTAGTCCGCAAGCAAACTACATATCTGTCAGATAATAATATATTATCTGAGAGATATGTATTGTTTAAAAATAAACATGTCAATATGTGCCAGTATGCTGCTCCATGCTCCAACAGCTGATGCTTATTGACACTGGCACCCTGTTTTTATAAAACACAAAGGATTGGTCTAGTTAAGATGAAATTATGATGGTGGCTTCCAAATGTGAAATTTAACAACCTTTTTTCAATATTCTAAAGCTTTATTAAAAAAGTACTGTGCCTCACAATTTCTATGGCTAAGTAAGGTTAACCATCAACACAACAAAAATGGTTTTCAATCGATCTATATTTCTCAGATTGAATTTTATTTCTTACAGCTATAGTCAGTACCTCATAACTTTAGCCACGTGGAAAGGTAAACGCTGTTGTTGAGCACATGAAGCTCTACGCTTCCTGTGGCGATGTTCAGAGCTACTCCCTGAACAGAAAACATTGCCTATGGAGACCAACTAACAAGCAACACAATGTACTATACACCTGACCACACTCCAAGATGCTACATTTCAAACTGGTAGTACCCACGCTGACATAAGCTGATAAGACTGCCTCCCCAGCTCTGCGAGAGATCGTATGACCCCTCTACCACGGCTAGAGTTCCGAGGAACTAACAGTACATGTTTCAGTCCTCATGGGACAATCATCAGGCAGTATTATATAATACAACTAAGGTTAACTCCCAATATGGATCCATATTTGGTGCAACACAATGTGGTTCAAATATGACTGGGACTGACTTTTTTTTTAAAAACCACAATTGCCAAACACTTACTTGCACATGTCAGTCTTCAACGTACTCCCCTCCGGAGTCAACACACCTTTTCCAACATTCTGGAAGCATCCTGATGCCCTTTTCAAAAAAGGCTTGTGGTTGGCGGCGTATCCACTCCCGAACAGTCTGAATGACAGCGTTGTCCACAAACCGCATGCCTTGCAAGTCTGATTTGAGCCTTCCGAAAAGGCAGAAATCACTTGGGGCCAAATCAGGACTGTACAGAGGATGTGTCAGAAGGTTCCATTTCAATTTCTGGAGGGTTTCCATTGTTTTGGCTGTATGGGGGCGTGCATTGTCTTGAAGGAAGGCTAGCCACTTTCCACCTGTCTTCCGCTTGGATCGGATCGTTTCCTTCATGTCTGTTGTCAGGAGGTCTGAGTAATAAGCTGCATTGACTGTTCTGGCATCTGTCAGAAAGTCTACATGGATGACCCCCTGCCAGTCCCAGAAGAACGTTGCCATCACTTTCCCTGCCGAACGGCTGCTCTGCGCTCTCTTGGGTTTGTGAGAACTGGTATGCCGCCACTCACGTGATGACTGCTGGGACTCGGGATTGAAGTAGTGCACCCACGTTTCATCGGTGGTCACTACAGACTTCAAAAATGCATCACCTTCGTCTTCAAACTGCTGTAGGAGACGACTGGCAGCTTGCATGTGCACCATTTTGTTCACGTCCGTCAAAGTGTGTGGTACTCACCGTGCATTCATCTTGCGATAGTGCAGGTGGTATTTCACAACGTCTTCTACACTACCAACACTGATGGACAGTATTGCTCCAAGTTCCTTGATAATGATGCGCCTAGTCTCACAAATAAGCGCGTCTGCACGATCAATGTTTGGCTCGGTGATGGATGTTTGCGACGGCTGATCATGCAGTTCATTCTCCACATGCTCTCTGTGCTCTCTGTCCTCTCTGAAGCACTTACACCACTCAAACACACGGGTCCGTGAGAGACACTCTTCCCCGTACTGCTGTTGGAGACTGTGGTGAATTTCAGCGGACAGGACGTTTCCTCCAATGAGGAATTTGATCACAATGCGTTGTTCTACGCTCCATAGTACCTTCTGTTCACTCATCACTCTAGCAACTCCCAGACAGGACTGAACAGGTTCTAACCCAAACAGGAGGGAGGGTGGAGGTTGTGGCTTCACACTCTCAAGGTCGTACAGCTGCTGCGCAGTACGGCTTGTTTACACACAAAGCAGTCCTGGTCATATTTGAACCACCTTGTACTTATACTGGACCAGTACAAACCAAAATTAACTGAAATCAGCAGCTACTGGTACAGATACCAATGGCAAAGTCAATATAAATCCTTTCAAGATAAAATATGCTAATGGCCAGACAAGATGGATGGATACAGTCTTCCCTTTGTGCATTTATTTTATGCAGTTTGTGCAATGAACACACAAACAGCATTCATATGTATTACAGAAAAGCCAAACACATTGTAGTAACTATAATCTTCTAGGTTATGAGTGTGTAACTGGTAGGTGCTTAAGAACATTATGGAGGAACCTGTTGCCTTTATCTTTACTTCAACACTGAAGATGATAGCAGCAAGCTCTTCTGAAATATCATTATAATCCATAAGACCATAACCTACATTCATACTGCCATTAAAACCTCAAATCTCACATAATGTAATGACGACTATTATGTTACTGTGCATCTCTGCTCTGCCAGAAAGAAATGTATCTTCTGACTAACACATTCTCCTACTAGATATTATCATTTAAAAATATTTATACAGTCAACTCTCGATTATCCAGTTTGCGGCTTAACCGGGGCTACTGAGGCTCTTTTGAGGCTTATATGTTGTTTAATATTCATTCACTTTTGTTTCAAATGGTGAGTTGTAACACTATTTTCACACTAGTGTGAACCGAGCTCTGCATTCTTTGGTCCCGTTATGCTAACACAATGTTCTAGGGTAGGGGTGAAAGAATGCAAGGATTTGTGGAAAGTTTCAAGGACAGATATATCGCCCCAGTTAGTATCTTTGTATCGATCTTCAAGTGCGTTAGCAAAATGTCAGGGTGTAAAAGGAAGCGTGTTGTGTTAAGTATTCAACAGAAAAAGGAAAATGCCGCGAAAAAGTAAATGACAATATTAATTTTTTTTAAGTGTTAATATTCGTAAAAAGTGTTGGATGTTGTTGAAGACTGTGATTGAAATAACTAATTCATACTTCAGTGTAATGTAAAAAAAGTATAACATGTATGAGATAACATAAAAATGAGGTTGAATAAATTTAAATACAGGCAGGCCTATAGTATTATGAAGGTACAGTATTACAGTACTACTTTTAATAAAATTTGTCTTAACCGGGTTTTCGATTAATCATGATTTCCATCCCCACCATTATCCCGTATAATCGAGAGTTGACTGTAAAAAGTTTACCTCTGTTCATTCTGAACTACTTTAGAGCCAAATTTCCTCTTCAGTTCATTATTTGGATTGAGATTCCTGCGGCTAACATGTAATATTGGTTTCCTTGCACCCATAAGATCTTTTGAATAATTGGCTGCTGCAGGTTCCCAGGCCACAGCTGACTGTTCATTCTTTTCTAACTACAAAGATAAAACAAGCTACAAATTAAGCCATACATTTAATTTCTATGCCTACCCAGTATTTCATAATGTATATGAAGGTAGTGTTTTTACCTTCAATGAAACCAGATGAGACATGGTAAAAAAACAACAAATGAAGCCCTAATGAGAAGATTTCAGTGTTTTTTCTGAACAAATGTGTTCATGAAACATTTGTTAAGTATCTCTTATTTTATTAGAGAACAAGAATAAGAAGAAGGGGAGAGTAAAAGAAAAATGGCTCTCTCAGATAAAAAAGCAGAACCAAGGTAGGAGAATGTTATACTATGAAGGAAGGTATTAAGTGAAGTAAAGAATGCAAAAAACCAACAACTGGGTAAAATATATTGTGGCATATTTCTTCAAGGCAAGAACTGTGAAGCCAGCTGAAACAGCCGTTGCTAGCCATGCTGAGGCTATATAACGAGGAACAGCTGTGATTATGAGAGAGTCTTGAAGTGGAAGTGAGAAGAGTAACAGGTTGGTGAGTGAGTGAGTGAGTGAGGTAGAGGACTGCTGCAGTTCAGTCCTTGTGACCCGCTGTTGTTAGAAGCCAGTAGCTAAGGTACATGGATAGTGAGGGAACCCTGAGTAAGGCGAATGTCCGCCACTACCAGGCAATGACTAGTGAAGATACAGCAAACTGAGAAGATTTAGTGTTTGATTAGTGAACTGCAGTGTGTGTGAACTAGTGATAATTCTATAATTACTTGCAGTTACAATCTGTAAGAGTTCAATAAATCCAGTTACCAAATCAAACCCCATTTATAGCCACTCAATCACATGACAAAATAATTAAATAATCAATTGTTATACAACAATGAATATGAAGACTACTCTAAAGGTCAGGGCAATACTTGTTTTTCGAGTCTGGGGAATGTCTCCCTCCATTGTTCTGCAGTAGAGAAGTGGCAACACTGCTTCAGTAAGCTAGGTTGCCACACTGTGTTCCTATTCCATAGTTCCAGTATACACTGGAAAATTATGTGCACTACATATCTTGCCTGCATTCATGGAAATATACAATTTAATATTAATGATTCTATTGCCAGAAGTCAATAAATATTGTCATGTGTATGATTCACTATAAATGGGGACTGGATTATTAATTACTTACAGATCATACAAGTAACTATAGTGCTATTGCTAATTCACACACTCTGCAGTTCACCACGGCATGTACTGTCTTCTCAGTCTGTTGCTGGTAATGGCTTCCAATGCTGTAGCTTCCTCAGCTGCTGTGTTCATGTCCTTACTGGCTGGCAACTGTCAAACAACTTATTCATTGCTTCAAGTGACTGACTCCCAGGCTGGCCTCCATCTCACAGCAACCTCCTACTCTTCTCACTGCTGTCTCAAGACTATCTCATAATCACAGCTGCTTCTCTTTATGTAGCCTCAGCAAGGGCTACACAGAAAACACTGCCTCCAACAGGTCCTCCATTGTTGCATGAGCGTCTGTTGAGGCCATCACCTAGCAATGGCCATTGTTTACAGAGCCATTACCTAGCATCAGCTGTTGTATAGCTGATTATTTCGTGGCCATTGCCTAGCAATGGGTCCACACGCCACGAGTGACTTTAACATAACATCAAATGGTAGGATTAGTTAATGGAATAATGGATTGGAAAGGATGTGGAAGGAAGGAGTCATGAAGTAATTTCAGATACTATCCCAGAATTTTTCTGGTGGGACTGAGGAAAATCATTAACAAACTTCAGTTTGGACAGTTGGTCTTCAGGCCAAGATCTGAATCCAAAACCTTCGAAACATTAAGCAGGATTGCAACCAATTCAACTGTGATTCTCAGTCATGTACTATGTTAGCATCATGTTTTGGTCTGATACAGTCTGATTTGATATGAAAATGCATGCAGATAACTTGAAACAAGATTTGGTAGAGTTCTGTTTTATTTTGTGAGTTTATCTGTTATTGCATGCAAATGGTTTCAAGTGGGGAGCAAGAGGAGCTAATGATTGGTATCTATGTGATGATCAGCAGTCATATAATGTTCACAAATTCTGCCAGAATTTTAAATGGCAGAACAACAATTATTAAATCAACACTGACACTTGGAGGACAACATGCCAAATGTCACAAAAGCACTAAAAATCCAACAGTATAAAACTCACCATATAAAGATGACCCAACATGAAAATCACATTTTTAACTTCAAACTTTAAATCTGTGGATGTTTAAATGAGTCTTTTTAAATTTATCATACAGTAATGGCATATAATGAATTAAGGTACCTCTAAGTTATCTTCACTACTTCTGTGACTACTCCAGGACTTAAATTCTGGTTTCTTCTTTTTCTTCTTCTTCTTTTTCCTTCGTGATGATTCTCGTATATCATCAGCCTCTTCTGGAGGATTAGCCGCCTCTGTTTCATGATCATCATCCTCCTTTACCTCAGATTCTGAATGGGACTGCTGATTCAGCTATGCAATGAAAAATGTATTTATAATTCACGGTCACATCAGACAGACATGAACAAGAAGTTATACGAAGAACTTATGATACCTACTTTACTTCATATGCTTCACAGGAACTACTACTGTGACTGAATACTGCCCCACTTCTGTGTTTGATTTCTACTATAGACTGTGATTGCTATCAAATGTAATCTTAAAGTCTGCACTATCATCATACTTGAAGCTGTTGACATGTAAACAATATTTCATGAAGAATTACTGGGTGAGATTATGATCTAATTCTCATCAAAATTCCACTAGCCTAGTTCAAGTGGTTCATTAGTTATTGGTATCATGCTAAAAGCTAAACACAGTTTTTATAAGAAAACTATTTTCTGGTGTTACATTCTATATATTGTCTTAACAAATGTTGCATATTATTTTATCAAAATTTCCATAGTGGTGCTCTCAAACGAAGTTAATACGGTGTGATCTGTGCAACTCTGCACAATTTTGTACAATCTATGCAAATTCCCAGACAGATAACATGGCGAGAAGTTCAGTTGACTGTCACAAACCCAACCTAAACCCACCCATTCTAAACAACCTAACCCTATCAAACTAAAATCTGCCTCGAGAGACATAGGTAGATGCCCCACTGTCAACCTAATCCAACTCAGGAACCAACACTGAAGACAAACTGGCTACAATGCCACATGAAAACCAACACCCCTTACCCAACTGCACAAAACTCAAATCCACTAATTCCCAAGGAGAACAAATCTGGCTGTGCAATGAAAATGCAGACTGACTGTCAGAGTCAGAGTTACTTTATGGCTGGAGGTTTACAACCAATCACTTTATCCTGGTGCCAAGCCCCTTGAGGCTCATGAACCGAGTTTTATTGGAGAGGGCAACTGAACCCTTGCAGGTATAGTCCTTATGTTACATCCTCTCTGACAAGAGGATGGGTTTCTCTCTCATGACTGGGCTCATTGAGGTGTATATGTATATGTACCAACATGAACATTACCTAACCTAACACTGTGCGCATGGGCACACAAAATTATCTACAAGATCAACAACATAGGCCTTGTATGAAACATTACAGGGCTTCAAAATGCTCTGAAGTTGCAACCATACGTTTTTACTAATATGAATGACCAAACATACTAAGTTAACAAATTATAGATGACCACACGAACGAAACGATTTTTATAACTCGTTTCTGAACATGGTTTCAATATTTCTTGGTAATTCAAAGCTGCTGTATACAACATAATAATAAAATGCTACCTCAAGAATAAGCAGTGTGGAACGTCATGCATCTTCAACAATAAATTCCACAGCAATTACCGCGTTTCCTGGTGGAAATAAACATTATTCATTACTAACTAATGCCACCATTTAGCAGCTCGGTTACGTATCCCGTTTATTGTAAACGTACAGCAAAGACATGATACTTATTTTATGCCTTCGAACTATTTTACATGAATCTATTAAACGTTTAACAGAGGAAATGACAAAGTGAATTACCGTACCAAGTCATAGCGATTTATATTAAGTTGTTTCTTCTTTGCACCTCCTGTACTTTCTAAGTCGGATTCAGGATCACTGTTATCATTCTGCTGATCATTAGCAAAGTCTTTATCTCCCTGCAGTTTCCTCAGAACTCTTGATGACATATTAATTGAATTTCCTAAAACAAATTTTCCTTTTTATTGTAACATCCCACAAACAAACCTGCAAAAACAAATGAACCACACGAAAATCTCCTTACACGTCTAATTCCACTAAACATCCACACCACATCATCCTCGCACTGTTGCAGCTGTTGAACGATCTTGAATTCAGGGGGTAGAAACTGACATAGGAGAAGGGCAACAAGGTAACTACTGCCTCTATGTGTGGAGGCAAATACTACACACAGATCTCGACCAATCAGAGTGCATACTCGAACCAATTTGAATTCCCGCAATTATATGCGATTATGGTCATTATCGTCATTATGGTGGTTCATTGCACACAAAATGGTAAGTATGAATTTTGATTTGATGTGGATGTGAAACGGAAGCAGACATTTACGAACGAAGTTACATCTCTGTGTTAAACATATTATTTGTGTATAGGAACGGTATGCTTACTACCACAAATGAGATTAGAAATATATAGAATTCTATGAAGCCCAAAATTTTTGAGGTTATGGTAAACTGTCATCTAAACGATATTTGTTTTATGATATGTTCTGAAACTTTCGGTTTAGCCCAAAGATTGTCTGTAGAATGTGAAGGAGTTCTAAGAGTCCAGTTTTACTGTTATATTTTTTGTATTGCTTCTTGGAGTATAAACATGAAAACGAAGACATGCTGCTGCTGCTGGGTGCTTGTCATCCAGCAGCCAAGGAACCAGATTCTTCAACTTTCCAAAGAACCCAGCACGGTATGTCTGTTTTAATTCATGGTGTAATTACTTTATTATGTGTTGCTTGATCCAATGAATAAATTAAGTTTAATATATGTCTGTGTTCAATTTATTCAACATAACCCCAAAATTTAGAATGTGTACCAAGTTTGTAATGTTTACTGAAGAATTATCTAGGTTTTGAGTCTATTTGTTCTACTTTTACAAGGCTGTAGTATGGGCAGGAAAAGCTGTAATATCTTGCACTATTGATTCTGCTGGAAGGCTGCACAATAACTATTTGTGCAGGAAACATTTCATGGACATTGATTTCACTCAAGCTGAAAGGGTACACTTGAACAGAGTGGCACTTCCATGTGACTCAGGTTCTGCTTCACAGTCATGCCCACAATCTCCTGTCTCTTCATTACATACACCTTCCTTGGATCCTTTGCCCACAGTTATAACTCCCACCCCTTACAGCAAGACAGTGGTGTACTCTACTGTATTACATATTCCTATACATGCAGACGGTCCTTCCACTTCCTCTCAGATGTCTTCAGTCCAACCACCACCAACAGCAGCAAACACCTTTGCAGCGAAAGAAACCTCTCTTCCCCTAAGTTCTGTAAATACAAATGCTTCTGTTGGAGAACTTGGGCATATCAGTTGTCAGAGTTCTTCCTCAAAGCTTAGAGCAAAGCATTCTCTGCTAAAAGAACTTAATTTGGCTTCACTTTCAGAATTGTCACTGAGAGAAAGGAAATTATATGAACATATTCAGAATAAAGAGAGTGCTCTGTAAACTCAAAAAGAAATATAAGGGAAAGAACCTGAAAAATCTCTGTGATGTGGATGGTGATCCACTGATGCAGAGTCTTTCATATTCTTTCACTTTAGAAGCTACCAGATTTTTGGCACCACTGTTTCAGAACATTAGACAGAAGCCTAAGGGCAGGAGGTGGAATTTTGATGAACAAGTGTTTGCCCTGTCTCTCCCGAAACATAGCCCTAAATACTATCTCATTCTGCGTTCACTGCTCCCCCTTGCATCGAGACGATCCTTGCAGTCCATCCTGAATACTGTTCCATTTAGGACAGGCATCAATGCTCATGTGTTTCATGCACTCCAACAGTCTCTGCAGAAAATGTCTGGTAGAAATCACCACTGTTGTTTTATGTTTGATGAAATGTCCATCAGGGAGAACTCTCATTTCAACCATAAAATTGAGTGCATTGAGGGTTTTGAGGATTGTGGAAGCCAGGGCAGGACATGCAATATTGCAAATTGTGCTGTAGTTTTTGTGATCCGTGGCCTACATGGAAAGTGGAAGTAACCAGTTGCTTACTATTTTACTCATGGAAGCACTAAGGCAGAGATGACTGTGCAATACTTGAAGGAGGTTCTTGATGCCTGTCAGAATGCTGGACTGAAGGTTGTTGCCACTGTGTGTGACATGGGGGCCAACAATGTCAAGGCATTGAAACTGTTGGGTGCTTCCAAAAGGAAACCACTCTTCAGATTTCATAATCAAGAAATTGCAACAGTATATGATCCTCCCCACCTCCTGAAGTGCACCTGAAACCTATTCTGAAAGTATGATAAGTAGTTGAAGTCTGAGCACCTGGCAACCAACTTCCTGTTATTGCCAAATGGGACCACATATTGAAACTGTATGAAGTTGACAAACCCAGACCATTTCGTCAGTTGTTCAAGCTGACAGACACCCACCCTGTCATGAAACAAGACCTAGAGGAGTGTATTCTTGTGACATCACCTTATTACTCAATGCCGTAACTGCAATTCAACGTAACTATAACAGAAAAGGTTGAACAATTAATTTCACAATTGGTCCTTTTCATGTTAACAGCTCTCACTAGAATGTCGAACTGTAAACTTCCACTCAATGTATCTTATATATCCTAGGGTTGGACCTATAGAAAACATGTCACTGTATTGTTGCAGGTTTTGTCTAGCACCAACTGTTTACTCAGCTGTTGCTAGGCAACAAATGGTTTCTAGCTTGTAATTGGTGAGCACACGATCCACTGTTGTTGTAAACCTTACATAGCAATGACTGTTTACTCGCTGTTACTAAGCAACGGTACCTGAGCTGTTACTGTAACGTTTCCGGGGTAACATCGTTACTGCCCGGCAAATGACATGCAAGAACTAGTAGAGCAAACACTATGCAGTCATGTATTGTAAGTCAAAGAATTAAGGGAAAGATGTCTCAGTTCTTCACACACCTGAACCCCAGTGCACAGAGTGTTATGAAAGTTAATATGGCTGCGCAAGTTATGAGCCATAGTGTGGCAGCAGGCCTCAACTCTCTAGTGGCTGCAGGTAAGGACCACTGCACTGTATGCTATTAACTATGTTCTCTTATGAAAGAAGTGGCTAATGGGAATAATGAGGGCTAGTTTTCATCATTTATTAAAAACTGTATATCAATATACAGGTTACATAGAATATGTCACAATACTAATGTTTTTAGGGTAATTAAAAATATCTGAAAAGCAGTAATGTGATTTATGAGAGAAAGAGGTGGCAAAGTCTTTGCTATGAGGAATAAAGTAATCAAATGCACAAATTCTTTTTTATGGCAGTCCTTTGCAAAGCGTGTTTTTTTTCCAGTCTGAAGAAATATGGCAGTCCATCATGTAAGAAAGCTCACTAACTTCCTTTTTAATGTTCTTTCAGGAGGGTGCTGCAGTGAATACCTGGCAACAGCTGCGTTTGTTGAGGAGGTTGACAACCTCTTTGATAGTTTCAATGGTGGAACGTGTGTTGACCCTGGGGAAACAATGCCTTGCCTGCTCAACAATAGCAGTCCGAATATAGAGCACTGGAAAAGGGCAAGTATGGGGATAAATAGTTGGATCTTCCTCAAGGATGGTAAACCCACCTTTCTTCATCATCCTCCTTCACAGAATGGGTGGCTGATTGACATCACTGCTGCCCAGCATGTGTGGAGGACACTGAAAGAGGCGGGTTTTAAGTACCTTCACACCCGAAACCTGAATCAGGATCCCCTGGAGGACACGTTTGGGGCTATTCATTTGAACTGTGGTTCTAACAATAACCCAACAGTGGGACAGTCTGTAGATGCCCTGAAGACTAGTATCATCAATGGCCTTGCTTTTAGAGTTCTGGGGGGAACTAATTGTGAGGATGATGGTGCTACTCTTCTGGATAACCTACATTCATTTCTCAGGGAACCTGAGGCTGCTTCACAAAATTCTTCCACAAGTCATGGCAAGGAAACTCATGCTGGTGTGCCTGAGAGTTTCCATGTTGCTCAGCAAGTACAGAAGGACATAAGCACTGCAGTACCTGCTGATGACATGGAAGTGTTCTCAGTAGCGTACGTCAGTGGTTCCATTGCCAGACAGGTTCTTCGAGGTGTCAGCTGTGATGCATGCAAGACATGCCTGACATCCCAAGTGCTGTATCAGCCAATGTATTCATATATTTCAAGGAGTGCAGTGATACAGAACAGTCTCTGACCTATCCTTCTGAGAAGCTTGTTGAGACTTTTGGTACTGCTGTAACTCTAATGGAGTGTATAATGGCAAAGGTGGCCCATTTCACTTCAGTGGAGCAGCATATCAGAGCTGCCATTAAGAGCACCATTGACTTAAAGTGGATTAGGTGTACTGGTTGTTCTCTTCACAGGTTGATGACTGAAGCAGCCAGGCAGAGGGTCACAAAGAGGAAGATTAAGATACTGACACATCAGTAAGCTGAGGTAGCTCAGTCAGTACAGTGATGGGCTGGACACCAGGATTCGATTCCTGGCAGGCTAAAGAAAATTTTCTCTGCTCCACAGCATCCAGACAGTCTCTGCGGTTCACCCAGACACCTATCCAATGGTTACCGTGAGTAAAGCAGGCGAGGTGTGAACCTGACCACTCACCTCCACCTAGTGCTCAGGTCAAGTATGGAGCTATACCTCCACCCCCCATACGCCTTCATGGAGTGGTGCTTAATTAATCAAGGGTAGGGACCATTATTCCTTCACTGCCTATATTATTGGTTAGTGTGTGCTTTGTTTTTCTGTGGGGGTGGGGTGAGACAGTCCATTTGGTATGTCTGCCACTAATTGGTCTATTGTTCCAGCTCTGGATGGTGGATATGGAGCATTTCGTGGAATGAGAGTGACAGGGGTTAACTTAATGATGCTACCAGCAGCTCAATCTATATAGCATTGAATGGAAGTACAATTGGCTAATAATGAACTGGAAACGATGCAGTAGTAGTCACGGCCTAATTTGAGATACTAAGTAGGCATTTGCCTGGTGGGACTGAAGAAAACCATAAAAACCTCAGGATATTGGTGTCCCAACTAAGATTCAAACTCAAAACTTCCAAAATAAAGGTCAGAAGCATTACCACATGAGGTAACTTGCCTGGTGGTGGGCAGATGGAACTGGCTGGAGATTACTGCCCAGTGGCTTTGGCATTAGGATGTTGAATCTTTGGGTTTTATTAGCAATGTTATGATGTTTTATTGTAGTCATTGCTTTTTTCACATTTCCAGGACAGTACTTCTATTAATTCAAGTCAGCAGTGCTTTGTAACTTTTTTGTACTAGGAGTTTGGTATGGAAGTTCCCCCTTTCCCTCAGTGGCATACCATCATCTTTAAGTGCTTAACCTTTACCATACAATATTGTTTATGTTCTTTTTGTGTTCAAAGCATTCTTTCCTGATCACATACCTATGATAGATACACATGTAGCAGAAGGTTGCCAAAATCAGGCACTCCTTTTTCAGCAGCACATTTACAGAGGCAGAGTTGTGCAGCCACAGTGGGGCAAAGACTGTTCTGAATGAAACTTAAAGCTGCATCTTTTATGGTCAAACTCTGAAAGGAATCTGGCAATGTGTAATGAGCTGGAAAGGTTTCAAGACAGCACAGACAAAACTGGAATTATTTGCTTTTTTATTTATTATTTACTGTTGCTGTAAACAGTTCAGACAGTGTCAAATGGTAGGCTCATTACTATTGAACAATTAATTGGAAAGCACATGAAGTGGTTGTGGGCTAACATGGGGTACTACCCTGCCTGAGGGGGGCTGAGAAGAACTACGAGGGTAAGTCAATAAGTAAGTTACAAATGGATATAGAACTTAAACAAATAAGAGTACTGATTTGAAAAATGCTTTCATTTCTCAACACAATCTCCCTGTACATTGAGGCACTTGTCCCATCATTTCACAAGCCCTTGAAAACCAGCAGCATAAAATTCTTTGGGCTGATGCAGGAACCAGGCATGTTGCTCTTGCATGACAATGCACGTCCCCATACTGCCAACAAGACAAATGAGACGCTGCGAAATTTCAAGTGGGAAGTCCTCGAGCAACCTCCGTACAGCCCCAACCTTGCTCCAAGTGACTTCCATTTGTTCGGCCCTCTTAAACATCATCTTTCGGCGATGAAGCTATAGATATGGAAGTCATCGCCTGGTTCCAATAGCAGCCCAAAGAATTTTATGCTGCTGGTCTTCAGGGGGTTCTGAAACGATGGGACAAGTGCCTCAATGTACAGGGAGATTATGTTGAGAAATAAAAGCATTTTTCAAATCAGTACACTTATTTAAGTTCTATATCCATTTGTAACTTACTTATTGACTTACCTACGAATAAAAAACCTCAGAGAGGATAACTGGTGTCCTGGTCAAGATTCAAACTAAGAACCTCCAAAATGCAAGCCTGAAGCCTTGCTACATAAGCTCACTTGCTTGGTATTAGTTCATTTACATGCTCTTAACAAAATGTTGGGCTACAGTGTGTCGCTTTATTACAACACTTTTCTTATACAACCTCTTTATTAATGTTAAATATAATAAAAACAAATTATGTTCACTTTTGTTTGTATCATTTTGTACAATCCATTTTAAACAGCCTCACTGATAAAATTCAAACACGTAAAATTATTATGCAGGCATAGTCTTTGGTCTTCACATAGTCTTACAGCTAACAATGGAAAAAATTATATATATATATCAGGTTTAATGATGTACACTGACAAGAAGAGGAAGGTTATTCTCTTCAATTAAACTTTTGTATTTATACACATCTTTGTTAAAATAATAATATAGCTACAATATAAATGGCTCTTCTGTGATGTCGCAAGCAATCAATGAAACAAAATTAAATTCTTTATTCAGAGTTATACTGTGTAATCATACAGCATTCACTACGACTTTCAAATGGGTGTTTATCCATTATAATATTGATTTGAAGGACAAAGACTCACCAACACAACACATATCAGAACATTCTTAAATATATACATGTAAGATTTACATATTGTAACGTGTTTGGAGTAGATACTTCCATGGTAATGCAATAACAGTGGGCTGTTGTGTAGGAATTGCAGAATCAACGAAGCAGCGTTTCCCCAGTGATAGACAACAGAAGGTTCACTGCGTAGCAATGGCTGCGGATATAAAACAAGGTAATGCATTCGCCGAGTCAGTATTGGGATAGCCGTCGCCGAAGACAGTCGAGTTCCAGCCACAGCCAAGGACAGTATTAGCACTGAAGTTGGGCCAAAAGCCATGTGATACTACAAAGTGGTAATAATTGTATGGTGTATAAGTGTGAGTGTCCAATAAAGATTCGCTAAACCCGAGACCCAAGTAAAGTTATTTGTCGCGGGACATACCCAACACATGACAATATGTAAGAATTACATAAAAATATAATAACTAGAAACATGAAAAGTATCAACATGCACACTTATTGCATTCGTTATACTAAAACAAAACTCGATCATATGTCTGTTACCCTTTTCACATTGTCAGGATATGTCTTGATGGTCATATAAATCTTGTTGTGGTCCAATATGGACACTGTCCCATAACCTATACAATCTCAAAAGAGAGAAAAAGTTAACTGAAATTGGTTCTGATAGTGTTGTGTATATAAATAAATCAATCTCAAATGTGGTTCAACTACAGTCTCAGCCTGATATTTGGAAAATCAAATTCTTGCTCCAGTGTCTGAATCTACTGCTTCTGAAATTCAAGGAAAATAAATTGGACTTTGAACATCGGGTGTTGAATGTCAAAATATATGGACCTCAGTGTGTTAAGGAAGAGTACATAGTAGAATCTGTCTGTAGATGAGCCAGTATTACATGATGGACTGAAAATTTTCTCATCCCAAAAAATTTGGAATAACAAAAATACAAAACCACCTGTAATAATTGGAAAACTGACATAATATTCGAAAGCTGAAGGATGTTAGAGGTGAACAAATGTGTTCTTGTTATGAAGTTGTGCTGTATAAAGCACAGTATGATTTATGACATAATATTAATTTAATAATTGCTGGAATACATCTCAACAGCCAGTGGTTTCTCATCAAGGTCTGGGTTCAATCCCAAAGCAGTCAATGTGGAATTTGTGGTAGATCCATCCATCCATCAGTAATCTGTCAGATATGTGGTAGATATAGTGGTGCAAATGCAGATTTCTTCTCAAAGCAATTTCATGTATCACTGTCAGTCATCAACCACCAATGTTCTGTACTCATGTACTACATGGATAAGTCAAAGGTATTATTTTTTCGGGGAAGTAGATCTATTCAAATTACCAGACCCCTTTTTTATGTAAATAATAAGGAGGTGGGTTATTCAGTGGATGTAAAATTTTTGGGTATTTGCATTACTGAAGATTTAAGTTGGGCAACCCACACCCAATATGTGTGTCAAAAACTTAGCAAGACTACCTATTTGATAAAATCCCTATGGAAGTCGGTGAGCCAAACTGTTTTAAGAAGTGTGTATCTTGCAAAATTTGAGTCCGTGTTGAAATACGGTATTATTTTTTTGGGGTGGGGTGCAAAAGGACTCTGAAACTCTATTTAAACTGCAGAAAAAATGTGTAAGGGTGATAAAAGGTGTTAAAAATAGAGTTTCCTGTAGAAATTTCTTTCGTGAATTAAAGATTCTAACTGTTACTTCTTTATATATTTTTGAGATCCTATGTTTTATGATAAAAAATAAGATTCATACCACCCAGTATTCTGATGTTCATGGCTATAACACTATTCATAAACATAATTTGTTTGTACAATTTTGTAATACTGAGCATAGCAAGAGAGGGGTGATTAGTATGGGAACCAAAATATTTAATGTCCTTCCAACTGAATTAAAGAATGTTAAAAATTTTAATGTTTTTAAGAAGAAACTTAAGAATTATTTGTTGTGTAATGTCTTCTATTCTCTTCAAGAATTTTTTAACAATTGTTGACATGGACTGTTTGTTGATAAATCTGTCTGTATATTTTTATGCCTTTTTTGGAATATTTATTATTATTAATTTTTGACATAAACTGTTTGTTAATAAATCTGTCTATATGTTTAAAATATTTATTCTTATGTCTTTTTTTGAAGTATTTGTTATTCTTAAATTAAGTTAAAAATGTATTGCTGTATTATAGTGATGAATCACTGTGTGAATGTTATGTTATTTTTTTTTACTTATGTTATTTTTGATGTGATGTTGATGTTTGACATGTCCAATTGTAATTCTCTACAGCTATGGATGAAATAAATAATAATAATAATAATAATCTTCATTGTCAAGAGAGGCTTAAGTTACAGCTCAGCTTTCCACCATGGTAGCCTGGGTTCAATCTCAGGATAGGTCATGGGGAACTTCTGGTTGCGGGCACTGGGGTGGGTTTTCTCATGGTACTTCAGTTTCTGCTGCCAATTCTCATTCACTAATCATCCTATCATTATCTGACACCATATATGCTTGATACTGACAGCGACATTAAATAACTATATATGGTATTTTTAATGTATCTGTCAACACAACAGTTCTATAATAAACAGATCAATATTACTGTATTATCATTTGTTTATTGTGTGAATGTATTGGTACAAGTTTAAGGTCTTTCATTAATTAATTTCTTTAATTAACTGGAACGTGGCTATCTTGGACAAAGTGAAGTTTTGTGTGTTGGTGATTTCTTTTTCTACTATAAATGCCTCTGATGATGGCTCCGTGGTGAGCCGAAACATGTAAGGCAGGTGGTGACGAGGTGGAAAACTTAAAAAAGTGTCACATTTGACGGAAGGAACTTGATTGTTTATTGGTACAAGTTTTGACCCTTTCAGGTAATCATCAGGCAATCATTACATGAATATGTCACCTATTGGATTGTTTACCAACATGGATCCAGTTCAGTGATTTATACATTTTTTTCTTGTTTGGTTTGCATTATAATTTTAATGGTTAAATTTTAAATTATAAAAATGTACATTTCATTTAAAAAGTCCAATTAGCATAAAACTTAAAATTTGTATATCTTCTGATTATTTTTCTTAGCGTGATGGTGAATGTTGCATATTATGGGGCTTTCTTGGAAGTCGGCATTTTTCTTTTTAATTTATTAGGGTATAATATATGTGTGGTGATCTTCTACATGATGATATATCCTGTTACTTCTTTTATAACGGTTTGGGTGATTAACAACATGGATATACCAGCTGACAATAAAGACAGGTTTTATAAAGTTCGGCCTATATATACTGCCCTGCGTAACAGATGTCTAGAGTTACCTGCGGAGGAAGAGTTAGCAGTTGATGAGGCAATGATCCCATTTACAGGGCGGCTCTCTGTAAAACAGTATGTGAAGGGCAAGCCAACTCCATGGGGTATCAAAATGTACATGTTATGTGGTAAGAGTGGACAAGCTTATGATTTTATTCTTTATCAGGGAGCATCAACTGAATTTCAAGAATCTTTGTTGAAGGCATTTGGGCAAGGACCAACAGTAGTTTTACAGTTAGCCCAGAGAATAAAACAAGAAATGGGGCATAAGATATATTTTGATAATTTTTTTTCCTCATACAAGCTTTTCCAAGCACTGAAACAAGAAAACATCTGTGCTGCTGGAACTGTCAGAGTCAACCGTTTTGCTAATCCTCCTCTAATGCCGGACAAGGAGGCACTGAAGAAGGAAAGAGGATTTTCAGAAGAAATTTGCAGCACAGATGACATAACACTGGTAAAATGGGTTGACAACAAAACAGTTGTTCTAGGTTCAAATTTTATTGGGAAAGGAGAAACTGACAAAGTTGAACGCTGGGACAAGAAACAAAATAAATATGTTACTATCAATCGACCAGAGATTGTAAAACTCTACAACCATGGCATGGGTGGAGTTGATCTTTTTGATCAATTGATGTCATATTACAGAATTTTTATAAAATCCAAGAAATGGACACTCAGAGCAATTTTCCATGCTGTTGATTTTGCTGTGGTACAGAGTTGGCTGGAATACAGGACAAGTGCCAGAGAAATTGGTCTACCAACGAAGAAAATAATGGATCTCCTACATTTCCGTATGAGACTGGCTGATGTTCTGGTGTTAAGTGGGAAGGATATCCCCAATAAAAAAAGAGGTCGACCATCTGCCACACCTCCAGATACTCCTGTTCAAAGGCTACGAGGAGAAACTAGGCCTCCTGAAGAGATTCAGTACGACGGAGCACAACACTGGCCTCTTCATGAAAATGGTGCACTGCCTACTAGGTGCAAATTTCCAGAATGCAAGGGACGTTCGAGAGTAAAATGTGAAAAATGTAATGTACATCTTTGTTTGTCAAAGGAAAAGAACTGTTTCCGTTCATTTCATTTAAATTAAAAGACATTATGAACATAATTCTCAACACATTTTATTGTTAACTAAAACATGGTGAATTTTATATCTATTGTATGTGTAAAAGAGTTCACATTTAAATGCACCAAATAAAAATATTTTTTTTTGTCTACAATGATTTCAGTGTTGATTGAGACCCAGTGTACACAATTGTGTACCAAGTATATTTTGAAAACGGGTACATATATTTTTATAAATCTTGCTTCTAAAATCATTAAAAAATCACCTAAGAGCATTAGAGCATAAAAAAAAATTTCCTTCCTCCAGAAAAAATTCAGGTCTGAAGGGGTTAAGGTGGAACTATTTATTTAGAGTTGTTGTTTACTTTCCATACAGTACGGACAATTCTCCATAAGATGAGGCACCGGCTATATGGTTAATTAATTTGCAGTATCATTTCTTATATAAAGAAATATCGAATTTCCAATTTGTCCATGGAAACATATGAAAAGTAAAATATCAACGACTGATTCAATGATATATAACATCAATTTTATCTTGTTTTATACAATAACTTTTAGTTTCTATATAATCTGACTTATTGTATTTTTACGCAAAGTATTTTAAATGATTAATAACATTCTATCCAATCTAATGTAATGCAGTTCAGTGGTATATGTTTGTTAATATGTGTTTGCCTGATGATGGCCGTTAGTGGCTGAAACATATAGCGAAACCATAGCTGGGCGCTGTCCTTGATTTTTTCTGTTTGTTGTGTTGTGACGGTCAATAAAGAGTTGTGCTATTTGGTGTGTTATGTTGTTACCTTATATGGGAGTACCCTGTCTTCCTGTTGTCGTTCCCTCGGTGTGGTTTTGTCTGTCGTGTTGATGGATACATCAATACCATAAACAGTATGAATGAATGTATAAGGGGTGGGCCTTCTTGGCCCTCGCACTGTGACCACAGTGATCTATTGTGCCTTACACCATAAACAGACACACAACAGGATGAATGCAATAAAGTTATCAAATAACTAACTAAAAGCATGAATCACTGTACAAAAAATGGACCAAACAGTCTGATCTAATGGTAATCCTCTAAACATGTATTTGGGAGGTGCTTGGTTTGAATCTTGGCCAGGTACTATCCTGATTGAGGCTTTCTGTGGTCTTCCTCAGTTCCTCCAAGCAAATGTCACCTTGGTTAGGCCATTACCATTTCCTTCCAGCTCATCAATCATGTGATGCTGTACAATCTCAGTACTGACAGTGTCATAAAATAACCAAGTAAAAATCATTAATGGCTGATACAAGTGGCTCATTTGAGGTGACACAGTACTCTGTCTCGCCCCACTCCCAACATCAACACATGTCTTGCTACTTGGAATTCTTCCTCTGATATTTTCCTGCACTGTACAATTTATGGGAAACAAGTATACTTACAATCACTACAATATAACTTTGACATGTGCATTTCTAGAACTTGTCTGTACTTCGGGTCAACAAGGTAGAGTACCATGTAGGCGTAAAGTACGAGCACTCATTAACATGGAATATCACGGAAGGTCACTTCATCACACTGTTCAGATAAAAATTGAAATAAGGTGATTAAAAAATTAGGTCATCAAATGGAATCTTGCTTACCTCACCACTTAGGACTGATCTGGCCAAGGCAGACAATAACAATTTTTGCATCTGTACCAAGGTTCATAACTTGTTAAGATTTTGAGGCTTCTTCAACCATTTCATTTCCATTCTGCAACTCATCACTAACCCTGAACAGAATGACTACAAAACCAACAGTTCCAAATCATGAGGCTCCTATTACATATTACACGTGGGATACGAAGAAGATAATGTTATTTAAATCCTCAAAATTACTTCCATAAAATACTTGCAATTAAAACTCTTCATTTTGGAGCAAAAACAACTGAAAAAATTCCCCTATTCTCTCCTTCCAAAATAAAAGAAGACAGGAAATTAATTTCAAATCCAAATACTTCATACATAAAAATGAGAATACTGAATCACAACAAACACAAGTCTTTCCAACAGCATGACTTTTGCTTAGCATCAACAAACTATATCAAAACATTATTCACATCCTTCATGAGAGCACATTTTTTAAGTAAATTATAGAATTTAAAATTCTCTCATATATGTAGTTCTTTGTACACACTATACAATATTAATAAAAGTGACTACATGAAAATTAACAGAATGGTATAATTAGTGAAAGCTACCAAAAACTGTCAATGGAATGTTACAACTGATGTACAAACACAAAGCCTATATACTGGAGCAATCCATTAAATTATCCTAACTGAAAAAGAGAAGAATACATGGCCTTAAGTGTTTACTATATGCAGATAAGTATACAACAGTAAGAAGAAAATCATGTGAATCCTTCAAATAAACAAGTATAGTGATGTTATGATACATTTAGAAAGTATGAGTAGGAGTATGAGGGGTGAGCCATAAAAACCAGCCCTGCGACCTTCAATGATCTATTGTGCTTCATTTAGAAAGTAAGTCTCTGTCAATTTATGGAGCATTTTGTAGAACTTCACAACATCCAGCCTGCAGTCTTCATCATATGCTGCGTACATCTGCCAGCTTCATTTGCTCACCACAAGTGTATATCAATTCATTTGCATGGCCTGTATCTTGATTCATATGATTAGTAAGATAACAGCACATATTACACCAGAAATTCCTAGCATAAGGACCTTCCTTTTGCATTGACCTGTCTAGGAAAGAAACAAGATTTTATTAGCTCACCACCACAATGTCACATTTCTAGGTAACAGAAATAGACAGTAGATGAAATGTAGGCAGCTTCCTATACAGTATCAATAAACACATTCAGTTCATTGTTGATAAATTATGTATTTATCTGAAATTTCCTTGCAAAAGGGGCTTATAATTCTAATATGTCACTCATTACAGATAAGGCATCTAATGACCCATGTTTAACATACCAATATACGAAACCAACAATGTCCAACTAAACTCTGTACCATACTTCATTTACTTGAAAAGAACAGCTAACTTGATGTCAATCACTTTCTTTAGTTAAATACAGTTTAAATTGCAAATGGTTTTTAAATTATATTTTTCAGGTTCTTCTGCTGTGACATAACATTCCACCTCTGTCTGACAAACATGTACATGAGCACACTCCAGTTGCTTTTCTTTTGCTCAGAAATCACATTCTTTTACTTTAACACAATTTTGCAATGTCGATCATTTGCTTCCATTAGCTTTTTAAGACAATTTATCAGCACATTCATGACTACTCTTCTCCAGAAACAAAATGATAAACCAAGCATTCATCCAATCAGTCACTAATATTTCAGTCTGGTAACATATGTTTCTTTTGCTTGCATAATAGACAAAGATTTACGTCATTATGTCCATGTCTGCCTGTCTGTCTGTCCTTACATACTAATTTCTGACTACTGGAAGTTACACAAGAACATATATGCCACTGGATGTCACCCCATTCTTAACCTTCACCTTCCCACATATGTAGTACGAGAAAGTAATGTGATCTTGTGATTTTGACATATTTGAACATTTTTCAGTATATTGAATAATAAAAAAAATGGTTTCTGAAATGCCACCTGTGTCTGTTCATTAAGTATGTGTGCTTCACTTGCAACTGAATCACTGCCCGGATAGTATTCACATTCTGCTTTTAGAGTTTATCCATTATAGGTTGGTGCGCCATGAGTATCAATATTCTGTCTCCAAAAATAGGGGCCCTTCAAAGGGCCACCAAACACAAAATTGCCATTTTCTCAAAAAGAGCTTGAATGATTCTCATTTATTCTGGTAGTCTGTAAAGAAAATCTCCCTAAATAGAACTGAATAGGTGGTATGCCATCTAGTGGCTCAAATGCAAACTGTCAATTTTCAAAGAAATTACTTATTAGAGACTAATACATTTCCAAGACACTTTAAAATTTTATAACAAATATCTCTTTTGGTATTAAGTGCTAATCTCATGAATATTATCATGTCATATGCATAAAACAGCATCATACTGGGACCCATCCACGATGTGAGTGGACATATTTTTTTGTGACGGAACAATTCTATTTGCAAGAATGATCCTTTAACACATATATGGAGCAAAAAATGAAAATATCCATGTCAATATAATAACTATCAGTTATTAAAAGGTTAATGCAGGGTTCTGAAATTTTAAGTGGAGACCTTATAAAGGAATGCAATTAAGATCATCTTTTGTTGTGGGCAGGTGTTGGTGGGAGTTGGCAACAGAGATTATTGGAGTGATCTATCCAGAGCATATAATATCTATTCTATGAGCATTTTAAAAGCTGCTTCAAAGAAACATTTGTGAACATGGTCCTGAAGACATAATTCTTTAAGTGACTAAATTATATTATGCTAACTGAACTGTTATTAGATACAAATTAAATTGAATGGTAGTTCCACTCATGAAGTCATTTAAATTGAAGTTACAGTAAAGTAAACTATAATAAATAGGAATCAGAAATTTAAATTAATTGAACCTTCAATGCCAACCAATAACATGAAACAGTAACTACTTACATGAGCTCACTTTGAGACCTGCCAAATAATTATGCCAATAATCACAGCCAAAACAACACTGAGACAAATTGCTAGGATACACTTCTTCTTCCGAAGTTTGTTCTGCAAATAAAATACAACTTGGCAGGAAAGAAAGGAACACAAAAAAAAAATTCTACATTTAAAAAACAATCTTATATAATCACTACTCTATGACCTCAAATGTTTTCGATTTTATCAACAATTTCATAGTCACAAACCAGACCCCTTTGTCAGTTGGATTAGAAAATTTCTAACATGTCTCCTGCAGCATATACAGGTGTCCTATGATGGAAAGTTGAAACTTCACCTACATTCAGGGCAGTTCATTACAAGTAAAAAATAAAGAGTAATTATTTTACTTAGCCTCAGTATCGAAAGAGTTATCAATATTTCAAGTTGTTACTGGAAATAAGAAAAGAAAATGCAAGATTACTGTTTTACAATTTTTAGCACAGTAATAATTTTTTTTTTAACTTGCTTGGTGGGGGGTGGAGTCCAACTGGGTCCACTCGGCATGGCGGCCACTGATTGGCCTATTTTAGCCTGCCCTGGGTGATTATGATTATGGAGAATTTGGTGGAATGAAGATTGGCAGGGGAAACCGAAGTACTTGGAGAAAACCCGCCCCAGCGCCACTTTGTCCACCAAAAATCCCACTTGACCAGCCCCAGCATCGAACCCGGGCTGCCGCGGTGGGAAGCCAGCGACTAACTGCTTGAGCTATGGTGCAGCCTTTCACAGTAATAATTTACTACAGTAATTTCTGAAAGCAGCCATGATGTTCTTTTATACGAGTTCTCATTCTCTTTAAAAGAGAACTACTTGCTCTACACAGTATGAGATCACCATTTCCAATCTTTGCTGTGGCACTGAAGATGTTGCCTGTTAGCTCTGCTACTGTTTACAATTTGATTTCATGAACAAAGCTTTTCATATGCCCCCATAAGTAACAATCAAAAGGTGTCACATCTGGAAACCTTAATAACCAGACTTATGGGTCTCCCCAGCAGATATAATGACCTTGAAACCGATGATTTAAAAATCAACTTGCATATCTCACACAGTTCACTAGTGCACCACTATGCTAAAATGATATATTTTGTCTGACCTCATGTGGCACATCTCCCAGCAATTCTGGCAAGTGGATTTCATATAAGCATAGGTGCCTCTCTGCACTTATGTGGTGTTCAAGTATAAATGGTCCACTGAGTCAGTCGGTAACCATGCATCATGTTTGCGGAAAACAGTGAGAATAGCCATGTTTGTTATTCCCTACCTCACATCACCTTGTCCACAAACAAAATTCGAGGATTGAGCTAATCATTCTGAACAAGCCAGTTGCATATTTCTATGCATGCAGGGTAAACATCAGGCTGAAAGGTCTGAACAACATGCTAATAAAATGGATAACAATCATGATAATTAAGAGTTTTCCTATGTTCGCACGTGGCACATGAGTTTGTTGAGATATTCTGTGAACACCAGTGACTGAATTACTATCCACTGTCTTCTGTATGACCTCTTCTTTGTTAACTCTTTGCTGTACTGGATGTTCACTTGCTAGTTTTGGAAATCTACTTCTTTCTCATAAACACCTGTATATGTGTAAACACACTTGCCAGACATGTTCGCTGATTTGGGAATAATTTCTCATATAAAAGAGGTAAAGCTTTCCCTGTAACAGGCCATGCGGGCTCATAGGATTGTGAGAGGTCGAAGCTCCCATTTTTTTAGACAATTACCTCACAGATGGCGGTAAGGTTGTCAGCCTAACGCGCCAGCCACCCATTTACCCCCCAGGAAGATTTCTGGTACTCATTTCTGTTAGAGGCTGCGTCAACCCCAGGACCATAGTGGAAGGATTAGGTCAATTGAAAAAATCCACCTCCTTTCTCATATTCTTGCATAAATGCTACAGCATTCCCATTGCAGAATTTGTAAGCAAAATATCTGCAACGTGTTCTTCATTAGTGTACAGGTATATTTAAAAAATACAGTATCAGTGGTATAACACATGACATCACACTTGTTCAGTTATGCATCAGAAGAAACTCTGCTGAGCTGTCTGTTTAGCACTGTTACTAGATCAATCCTCATTTTTCATGTTCTGCTTTAAGAAATCCTTGACAACTGTTGTGACCCAAATATTGATAATGAGCAAAATGATTACTTCCTTTTTTATGAGTATTTGTAATGACCTCCCCTACTTTACTTTAGAATATGCCATTAGGAAGGTCCAGGAAAACCAAGTGGGACTGAAATTAAATGGGACGCATCAGCTGTTGGTCTATGCTGATGAGGTAAATCTACTGGGTGATAATATAGACACCATAAAGAAAAACACACAAACTTTAACTGACGTAAGTAAGAAGGTTGGTCTAGAAGTAAACACAGAGAAAACTAAGTATATGTTGCTGTCTCGTCACCAAAATGCAGGACAAACTCATGACATAAAGACAGGCAACATATGTTTTGAAAATGTGGCACAGTTGAGATATTTGGCAATGATGATAACAAATCAAAACCTGATTCAGGAAGAAATTAAGGGGAGACTGAACTTGGGTAATGCTTGCTACCATTCAGTCCAGAACGTTTTGTCTTTTTGTCTGATGTCCAAAAACATAAAAATTAGAATAAATATACAAAACTATAATTTTGCCTGTGGTTCTGTATGGGTGTGAAACTTGGTCTCTGACACTAAGGGAGGAACATAGGCTGAGGTGTTTGAGAACAGGGCGTTGAGGAGAATATTTGGACCAAAGAGAGATGAAGTGATAAGAGGTTGGAGAAAACTGCATAATGAGGAGTTTCATAACTTGTATTCTTTTCCAAGTATAATTAGAATGATCAAGTCAAGGAGGATGAGGTGGGCAGGGCATGTAGCACGAATGAGGGAGACGAGGAATGCATATAGGATACTGGTGGGAAAGCCAGGTGAAAAGAGACCACTGGGAAGACCAAGGCATAGGTGGGTGGACATATTAAAATGGATCTTAGAGAGAGGATGGGATAGTATGGATTGGACTGATATAGCTCAGGATAGGGACCAGTGGAGGATTCTTGTGAAAACGGTAATGAACCTTCGGGTTACACAAAATTCTGGGAGATTCTCGAGTAGCTGCACAATTGGCGGCTTCTCAAGAAGGACTCAGCTCCATGAGTGAGTGAATGACCTCCCCTGAACACACGTCGAGTACTGCCCTTCCGTCATGGAACATCTTGTATATTCCAGTATAGTTCCTTATTTTTTTTTTTTTTTTTGCAGAATGGGATAAACTAACTTTACATGCCATGAGACTTGAGACTGAGGTTTGATAAGAATAAAGTAAATTTTGAAGACTCAAAGGGATCTACAATCTTGAAACTACACGTGCAGTTTGTGCTTATGAAAGAGAAGTGCTTTACATGAAATCCCTTTTCTTGTTCACACTGCTGCCTGCCAAAAGAATGCACACACTACATAACTTTCTGACATCTCTATAAAGTATGATGACAATGACGATTCTAGGAATCACTAACACTGAAGCATGCATCATTCATGTTGAAAATTTAAATTGAGACAATTTTACAATTACTTCTCAAATTATACATACATTACTTATTATTCCTGGTAAAAACTATGCAAAGTCTACTACAGGAAATGCATTCCAATCTTACTGTTGCTGCTACATGCAACATAAAATTAACATTTTTAATTAACATGAAATATATATCATAATACCAGTAATGCATTTAAATGCAAAATCGACTCTAATTTTTCCACAATTTTGTGATGATAAACTCTGATGCATGACTTATGATGCAGGTTTATAATAACAGGCTACCATGGAAAATATCACTGTCCACTTGACCTGTGTGTAGGATTGAAGATTTTCTCTAAAAATCTGGGTAGGCTCTAAACAATACTTGGTAATGAAAGACAGCTTATTTTCTGTTGAAACTTTTGACATTTTTCTTAAAATACGTAGGGCAATCCAAAAGTTTCCGAAATTTGAATTTTGCGCGCGAATGGTTATGAGTACATCGAGATACTGCTAGGTGTCTCCTCACACATCCCTCCTGAATCAGTGTGGCAAGCGGCGTCGAGTTGAGTAGTTGGGTTTATTGTTGGTGAACGTATCTCCACTGTTGTGTTTTGGTGAGTTTGCGGTTTTGTGATGGCTGACCCGAGAGAGCAGCATGTCTGTATAAAATTTTGTTTCAAACTTGGGAAAACCGCTGCAGAAACGCACCAAATGTTGAAGCAAGCTTTTGGTGAAAACAGTTTAGGCCAGACACAAACTTACAACTGGTATAAGCGTTTTAAAAATGGCCAAACATTGACTGATGACGACGATTGTTCCGGACGGCTGTCAACGGGCAAAACACCAGAAAATGTCGCGAAAGTTAGGGATCTGATTCTGCAAGATTGTAGACTGACCATCCCAGACCTGTGTAACACCTTGCGACTAAGTTATGGTACATGTCAATGAATTTTGTCAGAGGAACTGAACATGAGGATTGCGGTGACTGCTGCAAAACAAACAGAAGCAGCTTCACTTGGAAGTCTGCAGGGAACTTCAGCAACGGCTTTAAGAGGATCCAAACTTTCTTTCGAAGGTTGTCACTGGTGACGAAAGTTGGGTTTATGGCTACGACCCTGAAAGCAAGCAGCAATCATCGCAAAGGAAGAGCCCTTCTTCACCTTGGCCAAAAAAAGCTCGACAAGTCAAGAGCAACATCAAGTCCATGTTGATCTCTTTTTTTGGTATTGACGGGATTGTTCATAAGGAGTTCATCCCTCCTGGTCAGACAGTGAATAAAGAGTTCTATCGCGATGTTCTAAGGCGTTTGAGGGAGAACATGAGCAGAAAACGTCCAGAGAAGTGGCCCACGAACGACTGAGTACTCCACCATGACAACGCACGACCGCATACCGCTTACACTGTGCAGGAATTTTTGGCTAAAAACAAGATGGCAGTTGTTCCCCACCCACCATACTCGCCAGACTTAGCTCCATGTGACTTTTTTCTCTTCCCCAAGATGAAAATCAAGTTGAAGGGGCGAAGATTTGATACAGTTGAGGAAAGTCAAGCGAAAACACAGACGGTACTAAACACCCTAACAAAGAAAGACTTCCAGGATGCATTTGAAAAGTGGCAGAAACGCTGGGATCGGTATATGCGCTCCCAAGGGGACTACTTTGAAGGAGATGGTGCAGAATAAGATCTAGGTAAGATGTAATAGTTTTTATTAACATATTTCGGGAACTTTTGGATTGCACCATGTATTTTGTTGGTGCAGCCCAGCATCCTGACTGTCAAAAGGTCAGGTGACCTGTAGTAGTGACAACATTTACTAAACTGCACCAAATTTAACTTCCTTGCTTGCTTCAGATTTTATGGCTGCTACTATCCCTTCAGTGATAACAAATGTTTTACTAATGCCTTCTTTTATAGGGGCTTTCATAGCAATTCAATGCTAATGCTGATCCTGTTTTCAGGCGATAACAAGTGTTCAGATATGGACTACACTGCTGCTGTTTCTCAGATCCATATAGTATCTATCCTCAAGACGAACTGTGCCCAAACAACGAGATACACATAAGGATTTACATCTTTTTTGTTCCACAATTAAAAAAACAGGATACAAAAATCATGTGTCAGCATGAATTAGCCAGTGAAATATGGTATGGCATAACAAGAAGAAATTCCAAACTCTATGAACATCCAAGCTATAGTATGATTACCTGATAACTGCTGGCCTGTCGAATTTGGTTTGCACCCTCATTAACAAACACTTCAGTCTTCTCTATACTCGCTTCAATACTGTCCACTATTTCACCTTGGTCATGGACCATAGCGCCAAGTTCTTTGAAAATCTGGTTCACATCACTGATATCACTCTGAAATATCAGATTTATGAAGTAAATTCTGGGCAATTTAATTTTGATTTACATCAGTCTAAATATAATCCTTACTTTACATTAAGCTAAAATCAAACTTCACACATTCTTTCAACTTTAAAGAGGAAATTGGTATTATAACAAACCTATACACAAAAAATAAAACAGAGACATTTTTAATATCACATCTCCTTTGAAATATGTTTTGATACGATGAATGTTTAATGAAATACATGGAGAAATATATTTACCCTGTGCACTGTGATATTTGTGGCATTATTATTATTGTATTATAACAACCCGATACACAAAAAATATAACAGAGATGACATTAATATCACATCTCCTTTGAAATATGTTTTGATATGATGAATGTTTAATGAAATACATGGAGAAATAAATTTACCCTGTGCACTGTGATCTTTGTTGCATGACAAATCATAATAAACATATCTGGAAAACACATGAACTCCAAATGGGAGCATACCCAACCACTCATACTTTTCATTGAAACTAGGAAGCTCATGAAATACAGCATCATCACCACTTCTTTCCCCCAACTGTTCCAAGGAAAACAGTTTTATATTACGAGTGTGAAATTGTCACACATTCCCTGTTCAATTAATTATTTGTCAGTATGAAAATGAAAATCATATATAACAGTATGTCATTGTGGTTTGTCTTCTTGTAACATAATTACATGATATTTATGCATATACGATGGGGTACCCAAAAGAAACCAAACTAATTTTTTTGTGGGCAGAGCTTTTGTAGTACCGTGTTTTGCCGCTATGAGCGCATAGAGCTAACATTCCTGAGTCGATAAGCCGACTACCGTTGCTTCAGAAGGCAAGGACTAGTTTCGGCAGAGTTTATGGTGACAACTGTTTTGTGTGATCGTTGTTTTTGCAATGGCTGATTTTTGTGAACAGCGTGCGGCGGTGAAATTCTGCTTTTTGCTCTGGAAAAGTGGAACAGAAACTCTTGAAATGTTAAAAACGGCGTACAAGGACAATGCTATGGGGAAAACTCAAGTGTCTGAGTGGTTTTCCCATTTCAAAAATGGTGAAATGTCAATTGATGACAAACCTCGTTCTGGTCGTCCTTCCACGGCCCGAACACATGAAAATGTTGAAAAAATTCGTGAAATCATCAAGAAAGATCAATGACAGACCATTGAAGAAACTGTGGAGCTGTCGGGAGTGACTTGGAGCTCAGCGGCCAGATTTGTGGCAGTTGGGTGACTGGTTTTTCCATTATGACAATGCCCCTGCTCACACAGCCCTGTCTGTACAACAATTCTTGACCAAAAATGGTATGACCCCTGTTCCTCACTCTCCATACTCACCTGACCTTGCCCCATGCGACTTTTTTTTGTTTCCTCGAATGAAAAGAGACATGAAAGGAAATAACGGCGGAGGCGCTGTCAAGCATCTCAAAAGATGAATTTAGACAATGTTTTGAAAAATGGAATAAAAGATTAGACAAGTGTATTAGTGTAAGTGGAGAGTACTCTGAAGGGGATTGAAGGTTTGTGCTTAAAATTTGAATAAATAATTAAAAAAAAAAATAAGTTCAGTTTCTTTTGGGTACCCCCTCGTAGTATTTCTGTATGTACTACCTGTACCTACAATCATAAGGCAGTCACTCTCACCTCTAGCTGTTGAATAGCTTGTGCTTGTTCTTCCAACATTTGTAAATTCATCTCATCCATCATCTGTGCATCCTGCTGCCCACTGTTGTCTTGAAGCTCAATCAGCTGTTCATTGTACCTTCCACCTGTCAGAATGTGATCCTTTCAATTTCAAGTTTATTTTTATATGAACAACCATTGCCAGGCTGGCTTCTGTAGCACTATATATTCCATGATATTCAAAGATATTACAATTACTACTCCCCTTCAAAAGCTGCCATTTTTATGGTGGGGCCAGTGAAAACTATAACTCATTAATTATGGAATTTAGTTATCCATTTCTATGCATATAATTTCCACTAATACCGACTGTGACTATGTTAAGCATGTCTGACATAATATCAAATATTTATACTTCACAAAACTAAAAAAATTTAACACATAATAAAACATGTTTCACACAAAATTTTTAGGTACATTTATGATCTATCTCTATACAACCTACAATATCATATATATCAATCATATACAATGTATCTTATCCTCAGTCCTTCATTAGTTATGCCATCAAACCAAAAGCTAAATATTTCCCTCAGATGCTGTATTGTTTTATATTAGATGATAACATGAACACTTCAGGATCACACATTAAATCCTGCCAGTGATACTCTAATTTCAGATGTCTGCACATCCACCATACTGATATTACTGAAGAAAGAACATAAAGACAACAGAATGAGAGGGTCACTGTCAGTAGCATGATGATCCTACCAAGTTTTATAATAACCCAGAAACTGGCACAGTAGTTATTAGTGGAAGAATGAGACACAGATGGACAGATGTGTACGTGACAACACAATAAGCATTTATCTCCTCATAAAAGCAAGGAATGTACAATAAAAATCATAGCTATTCTAAATACAGGAATGCAGCAATATTTTGCCTTGATTTACATGAAAGTAAATAGATGAAAGTTACTAGCTTGTGCATATCCACAGCCGTGGAACACAGAATAATATACATAACAATACTGCAACTGACCCGGTGAAACAGACATCAAGATACATAAGGCATCAAAGTTTTATGGAACATGAAACTATTGACTGACATTAATCAAATTGTAAAGTGTAGCCGAAGGCCAGCAATGGATGCTTGTGTTTACATTTAGAAGAGTGGGAATTCCTTTCTAAGCTTGACCACCAAATATTTATGGCACATCCTTGGAAGTGGTAATTTTTCCTCCTCCAATCAATATTGGAAGTGTGAACAAAAAGAACCAACCAAAATAACAAGTTTTTTTTGCCTTTGTTATACTTATATGAATTAGGTTAGCTTAAGCAACACAGTGATTACCTTACTTAGTGATAGATATAACACTGCAATAACTAAATTCTATGGAACATCTTTTAAACTGTCATTTGCAATTTTGTCCTCAACATACCTCCAAATGGATCTCCCAGGCCCGAGGTTTCCCTTACTCTCTGCATTTGTTCCTTCTCTTTCTGAGCTGCTCTTCTCTGAGTTTCCTGGAACATGTTGAGGGCTGTAGTGAACTCATCAGCCAGTCTTCCCTTCTGCATCTTCCACTGTCTCTGTACAGGAAGAGAAAAAATATTAGTATTACTGACAAAATGTCATAAGTTAATTGATTTTGGCTTATTTAAGAGCACTGATGTGACCAAACACACTATATGTACAACATCATATTAGATTAAAATACGACAAATGGTGATTGATTAAGGATCTGGAAGATGACTGCAGCTTATTTGACACATAGATAAACCACTTGTTTCAGTCTCAAGGTCAAAACATATTATGCACGGGCAGACGTGAGACTTTTGACACAGCTGCCAACTGTTTTCCATTATGTGTACTGCCATGTACCAAACAGACTTGAAAGGATTCTGATGATGGTGTATGCTGTACAGAACTATTAGGCTTATTTTGGACTCTATCCATCATCTGGTATATCTAAGACAAAAAACCACAATGTTTCGGAGACTGGATCTGTCTCTGTCCTCAGGTGGATGGGGCAGGATAGACCTACTCAGTTGGGCCCGTTACAAAAGCTAGTCTCAATCACTGGTCCAGCTCTTTCTAATGGGCCCAACTGAGTAGGTCTATCCTGCCCCATCCACCTGAGGACGGAGACAGATCCAGTCTCCGAAACATTGTGGTTTTTTGTCTTATATATACCAGACGATGGACAGAGTCCAAAATAAGCCTAATAGTTCTGTATTGCCATGTACCAGCTGAAAAGAGGTCCTGGTAGACATATGCATCCCACAGAGTCTAGCAAGCTGGGCATGGCATAAGCAAGAGTAAACTACAGCATATCACATTTGGAAACACAATACAGTTACAAAGCATTTCCCAAGTACAAGCATATTAAATCACATATACAATCATATCACGAACAGCTGCATAACAATTTTTCATGCCAAAGGTACTAAATGGCATCTATTTGGTGAGATGGAGGAAACCCATGGAAAACCTCATTCAGAACAGTTGCAGCACGCCAAAGATTTGAACTGGCTACATCCCAAACAGAAGTGTAGAGGGTTATTGCTATACCAATGTATTCAATAAACATAAATAGAAATAACTGTAGTGATGGGTTCCTTTCTCTTGAAACCTTTACATATTTTCTGCAATATTACAGACTAATTACATATATAGGTAAAAGGAAAAGGTAAAGATATCCCTGTAACAGGCTGTAAAGGCCCATAGGGCTGTTGAGCAAGTTGTTCACTTATTTATGACTGAAATGACTTTAGACCAGACAGTGGGAAACTGGTATCACTTCATCAAGCCCATCCATCGCCTTATGAATATAATGACAGTGAAGTACAAGTAGTTATTAAATGTGGTATCTTATTTTATTATTTTCCTTAGTGGGTTGTGCAAAGTACTATTATGAAGAATGATTTTATGCGGCAGGGTAGGAGGGCACTGGGAATTAGTTTATGGAACAAAGTGGGCAGTGGCCCAAAGTTTTGGAATCACTTTACTAAATGAAGTGTAGGAAAGGAAATTTAAATTATCTGTTTTGATAAGATCAGAATGCAGAGAATTCAAATGGTGGAAACAAAAGTAATTATATTAATAATGATTTATAACTTCATATTCTATAAATTTTAACTTCTTGCATATAAAGTTTCCAACGAAGATTTGTCTCCCAGAGTTATATATAATCTTGCAAAATAGTTTTGTTTAGGTTACAGGGTGTGTTTCACAAACATGCAACTGAAGACGGAAATCAATAACTGTATCATCAGTGCAACTTTGATTCATGACACTTTTTAAAAATGAAGGTTTTTCAAACAGTGAATACAATGCCACTAAGGAACAAGGTCGTAAGTCTCTATGGTTCTGCGACAACAGTCAATTCAGTACACTCCAACTGTGTTCAGCATTTTCGATAACTTGATGTACAATTAATAACCTGATATTTTGGGGGCTGCACAAGTCTCATCTTTAGCTGATTAACTGTAGTTATACTAATATCATTTATTTTTAACTTGTATTGTTGTTATCAGTGCTATTTTTTTTAGGATGGACACATCACTGATACAGTGATTTGTATTCATGGGTTCTGAATTTGGTTTCTACAACTATCATGCAAGGAGAAGACACTTATTGGTATAAGGACAACGAATCGTCTGAAGACGGGAGTAGAGCTAACTCCTACCATTGGATAAAGTCCAAAAGAACAGGATGATGTCACAAAAGAAATCAAAGATGTAAGGTGGCTATACTCTTAGACATGGTACAGTATAGTAATAATCTCAAAGCATCAATTTTTAACTGAATAAATTTCTGTGTTCTACTATAATTTATACTATCACAATAACATTTATCTACACTTGTCACTGTTATTTACTCTCATAGAAACATGTTTTGATCCCTATGGCTATCTTTGGTGCATACCTATAGAGATGGTTTTAGCAGAAACTTCCAGAATACCAAATTAAAAAATGAAGAGAAAACAACTATAACATGACAAATGTTAAAAGCACAGAAAAGAGAAATCTGTGCAAAGACACTACATATACTTTCTAATATATGACTGACTTTGACATTACTTTGAACAGAAAACGACTGTTGCATGGCAGACCACTGCTGCTTGTTGGACACCAAATGACAATGGCATTCACCTGACAAAGCTGTTTTCGAGAAAACTGACTTTTTACATTTGGGCCCCTAGTATGCACACTTGTTATTTTCCTGAATATACCACCTATACCGTTCTATTTTGGGTTATGGTCTCCATCAGTTGCTGGAATTTCATCAAGATGATCAAGAGCATTTTCAAGAAAATTGCCAATCTGAAAGGCCCCCTGTTTTGAGGCAGAACATTCACCAGCCACGAACCTAAGATGGATAAACACTTGAATACTGAAAATGAATAAAATACATGCAAACACTCAGGAGCTAGCAAGGTATAAGTATGTACATACTTACATACTTACAAGACTACCTATTTGATAAAATCCCTATGGGACTCGGTGAGCGAAACTGTTTTAAGAAGTGTGTATCTTGCAAAATTTGAGTCCGTGTTGAAATACCGTATTATTTTTTGGGGTGGTGTGCAAAAGGACTCTGAAACTCTATTTAGACTGCAGGAAAAATGTGTAAGGGTGATAAAAGGTGTTAAAAATAGAGTTTCCTGTAGAAATTTGTTTCGTGAATTAAAGATTTTAACTGTTACTTCCTTATATATTTTTGAGATCCTATGTTTTATAATAAAAAATAAGATTTATACCACCCAGTATTCTGATGTTCATGGCTATAACACTATTCATAAACACAATTTGTTTGTACAGTTTTGTAATACTGAGTGTAGCAAGAGAGGGGTGATTAGTATGGGAACCAAAATATTTAATGGGCTTCCAACTGAATTAAAGAATGTAATAAATTTTAATGTTTTTAAGAAGAAACTTAAGAATTATTTGTTGTGTAATGTCTTCTATTCTCTTCAATAATTTTTTAATAATTGTTGACATGGACTGCTTGTTGATAAATCTGTCTGTATATTTTTATGCCTTTTTTGGAGTATTTATTATTATTATTAATTGTTGATGTAGACTGCTTGTTAATAAACCAGTCTATATGTTTTAAAATATTTCTTATGTCTTTTTTTTTTTTGGAGTATCTATTATTCTTAAATTGAATTAAAATGTATTTTGAAATGTACTGCTGTATTATAGTGATGAATCACTGTGTGAATGTTATGTTATTTTTTTACTTGTGTTATTTTTGATGTGAAGTTGTTGATATTTGACATGTCCAATTGCAATTCTCTACAGCTATGGATGAAATAAATAATAATAATAATAATAATAATAATAATAATAATAATAATAATAATAACAACAACACATACACACATACATAAAGCCTACCAAAAACTACTGTTTTGTAAACAGGGGGGCTGAAAACGTGTAAATCTGTCAAAATCTCAAGACTGAATTTTTCATGATCATAATACTTTCACACATAGTATTAAAAAAAACTGGTATAAATCAAGTTTTAAAATCTTTAATGCTTACAGTAATATGTAATACCTGAATGTGATCTGTATATGCAATGAAGAATTAGATGGCCAAAACATGTTAGTGTGAAAATGTATAGCAATGATAAGTGTAGATGGATGTTACTGTCACAGTATAAAATATAAGATCAAGTAAAGAGAAAGATGAATAGAATTCTAAAATGATGTAAACTTTGTAAGATTATGAAGACTTCTTCCTGCCTTCTGGAATATAATATCATGTAGGTTGGTGAAAGTGAACCGTTCCAGAGGAGCCTGTTTCCTCCACTTTCATGGCTGAAGAGTAAGCCAAGAAAGAAACCAACATCACACACACAGCATGTTGGGCCCTTCAACCCTGAAGATGACTGTGGCATGTTCCTTCAAAACACTGGTTGACTTCCAATGGACTACTGAAGATAGAATTCTTCATTAACTGCTGGTGTGAGAACTTCAAATCCTACTTTTTAAGATATGATTTTTCCCTTTAAATAAGTGAAATAACTTACTACCACTTACAAGCTTATCACAAAATTGTAGGTACAAATTTTCCCCAAGCCATCTTCAGAACAAATCACTGACAAAAAAATTTGCACATAAACTTGAGGACTTACATCATCTTGAGAATCCCTTTTCTTCAGAAGTGGTTCAAGCACCTGAACAAATGTAAATTGAATTTATTAAAGTGAAAAATTTGAGGAATAGGATTTTGCACAGATCTGAAAATAGCTTCTATATGAACGATTTATTAAAGTCTACATGATCAAAGTAACATGCTGAAAATGTATAAATTAAATATATTTTTGTTCAAATCAGTAAGACTGAAAAGTAACAGCTAACAACCCAACAAATCATCTATCACAATTAATGTTATATAACTCAGTTAAGATAATAACTGAGAATTTGTCAACATCCAAGTTACTGGAACTGACTTATATAAGATCTGAAGCCTTCACGGCAGCTAAAGTTGATAAAATTACTGACATTTCAAAGACCAGACACAGTCCCTGAAAAGTTGATAATTTTTAACTAACTGACTCGGCTGATGGCCCAATACGA